TATATTCCGGCATATAAGACGACTGGGCGTATAAGACGACCCCCAACTTTTCCAGTTAAAATATAGAGTTAAGATGACTCCCATGCATAAGACTACACCCGCATATAAGACGACCCCCGACTTTTGAGAAGTTTTTCTTGGGTTAAAAAGTAGTCTTATACGCCAGAATATACTGTATATATTTTTTAGTAATTTCACCATTGCAGTTTTGGAAACCTTTCATATTGGGAGCTAGCAGGCAGTAATTTATTATTACTGTTAATTATTATTAAGTAAAGCTGTATCTACATTGTAGAGTTTTGATACCACTTTAACTGCGATGGTTCAATGTTATGGGATGATGGGAGTTCTAGTTTGCTGAGGCATTGCTATGTTGAAAGAGAAGGCTAAAGACCTTGGGAAACGACAACTCCCATTATTCCGTAGCATTGAGTCATGGCAGTTGAAATTATGTTATACATTCATTCTACAGAGGGGCAAGATGTGTAAATATACTTATCGGTTGCCGCTCAACAGATAAGACAAAGAAACCAGTTGTACCTCCTTGGATCTGTTAGGTAATTATCCTAGTTTAACAACAGAGAGATCTAGGAGGAAAACAGTAACAGGCCAAGCCACCCAACCGGTTATGCCATTGTAAAAAAAGCAATTCCATGGGGCAACTGTGGCTTTCATAATGTGTGCCTCGTTTTATATCTTGAGTAAAATGATAAGTACCAGCAAATAACCCAGGGCTAGACTACAATGCGCTAAGTACCGTATGTAAAGTTTGGAACCTGGGGTTATATACCCACAAGAGGTGCATCTACACTGTGGAGTGAATGCAGTTTGAAGCTATTTTGACTGCTATGGCTCAGTGCTATGGAATCCTGGGAGCTGTAGTTTTACAAGCTCTTTATATTAGAATCATTGCTCTGTGTATTTTAATACACGTGTTTTATAGTCGGAGACGACTGAACAAATGAACAACAATGTATTTTTAGCTATGTTGTAACCTGCCTGGAGCCGCGAGGAGAGGTGGTTAAGAAATAAAATTATGATTATCATCATCTTCATCGTTGTGCTATATTATTATTATTATTATTATTATTATTATTATTATTATTATTAAGCATTCTGTGACCAAAAATGCAAGTGCTGCACCAAAACGACAAATCCAAGAATTCCATCGAAATTATCAGTGGCAATTAAAGTGGTGCCAAATGGCATTAATATGAGATGATGTGAGGGTTGGAAATGAGTTCCTTTAATATAGATGACCACAAATCCCATATTTTGGGGCATGAGCATTTCATTAATACAGAAATGATGACATTCAGAGAAATGTGTCCAATCACTTTTTTTTTGTATAAATATGGACAGTATGTCCATTACATCACATGAAAATTTTAATGGTATCTCATAGTCTAATACTGTAGAATAGTCATAACCTTTAAAAAAGAAAGAAAAACAACCATGTATTTTAAAGATTATTCCGTGTATTTTAATATATGTATTTTGTAGAAATACATATTAATATGTAGAATAGCGTGTAGAGAACCAAAAGTCCACTATTCATTTTACCACCTCATTTGTCAAAGGATCCTTACAGTGCAGTGATTTGGGGGAGTTTGGGGGATTTCTGAGGACCCACGTCTTCAGAAATATATAACCCACAGCACCTAGTAAATGCTGTCTTCATAGATCTGTCAGCAACTTATGATACTGTAGATCATCACCTCCTTCTGAAAAGAATGTCTATCACAAAGGGTCACCACCTCACCTGCTTTATAGGAAATCTGCTACAAAACAGTAGCTTTTTGTTGATTTCCAGGGTCAGAGAAGCAAATGGCAAAAACAAAAGAATGGCCTGCCTCAGAGGAGCATGCTTGCTCCATCAATGTTTAACATTTACACAAATGATCAGCCACTGCCAGAAGGGACAGAGAGTTTCATCTATGCTGATGATCATGCCATCACCACTCAATCAGGGAGCTTTGAAATGGTTGAACAAAAGTTCTCCGCAGCTCTAGGTGCTCTCACTGCCTATTTACAGGGGAAACCAGCTGATTCCTAATTCATCTAAAATGCAGATGTGTGCTTTCCATCTTGTGAACAGAAAAGCATCTTGAGCTCTGAAAATTACCTGGGAAGGAATCCTACTGGAACATTTCAGCACACCAAAATACCTGGGAGTCACTCTAGACCAGGCATTCTCAAACTGTGCCCTCCAGCTGTTTGGGCCTACAACTCCCAGAATTCCTAACAATTGAACAAGCAGTGGCTGATACCAGCTCAACACAATATGCACTTTGATGCACTTTATCTCATCCTTTAGTGAAACTCACCCCATTGCTTACCCCACCCAAAATCTCCCACCAGGCACACTACCCTACTCATCCATCTCACCCAGGGTTTTATACCTTGTGTTTTGTCATTTTATTCTTTGTAACTGGCCCAGCCCGCTGTGCTCATTTTACTATTTTATTTTCATTTCCTGTGTTTGACTTTGTATTAGTTTGCTGTTTATTTTTATCTGATGCTACCTGGGGTATAAATAAAGTTGTTGTTGTTGTTGTTGTTGTTGTTATTATTATAAGAAACTCCCTCCTGGGCACACAAAAGACTGGGATTCTTGAAAAGTGCAGAACAAACTGTGCTCCAGCACCACGAGATGCAGAGCCAACCCTAAGAAATGGGGCTACAAAGTGACATGTGAGTGTGGAGAAGAGCAAACCACAGTCCACTTACTACAATGCCTCCTGAGCCCTGCCACGTGCACAATGGAGGACCTTCTCGCAGCAACACCAGAGGCACTCCAAGTGGTCAGCTTCTGGTCAAAGGACCTTTAGTAAAATGCCAAGTTTAAAACTTTGTTTGTGGTTCTTCTATACATTATAATTGTATTCTCAATTCGCTTCTGACACAATAAATAAATAAATAAATAAAGTTAACAAACTGTTCATTGTATCTCCATAGTCCACTATCCCTTCTTCCTATTTAGAAAATCAGGAGACACAGTAGAGTAGTCATAACCTGTTTTTTTAAAAAACTTTATTAAACTTTATGAACAAATGATAAAGTTTGGCACCACCTTAACTGCCATGACTCAGTACAGGGGAATCATGGAAGTTGAATCCATCGCATGTTACACCTGGAGAAAGGTGTGCTACAGGCAGGTGCAGAGAGGGGGAAGAGAGCATTGGAGTGGAAAGAAAGAAGGCAGTCTCTTGATTTCTAAAGAGAAAAGATCAAGATGTGGCAGTAACAAGCCACAAATAAAAACTGTCATAGAAGCATAGAGTTGGATGAGACCTTGTGGGCCATCCAGTCCTACCCCCTGCGAAGAAGCAGGAAAATCGCATTCAAACCACCCCCAACAGATGGCCATCCAGCCCCCGTTTAAAAGCCTCCAAAGAAGGAGCCTCAACCACACTCTGGGGCAGAGAGTTCCACTGCTTAACAGCTCTCACAGTCAGGAAGTTCTTCGTCATGTTCAGATGGAATCTCCTTTCTTGTAGTTTGAAGCCATTGCTCCACGTCCTAGTCTCCAGGGAAGCAGAAAACAAACTTGCTCCCTCCTCCCTATGACTTCCTCTCAGGTATGGCTATCATGTCTCCTCTCAGCCTTCTCTTTTTCAATCTAAACATGCCCAGCTCATAGGTCTTGTTCTCCAGACCCTTGATCATTTTAGTCACCCTCCTCTGGACACGTTCCAGCTTGTCAATATCTCTCTTCAATTGTGGTGCCCAGAATTGGACACAATATTCCAGGTGTGGTCTAACCAAGGCAGAATAGAGGGGTAGCATGACTTCCCTGGAGCTAGACACTATGCTCCTATTGATGCAGGCCAAAATCCCATTGGCTTTTTGTGCCACCACATCACATTGTTGGCTCATGTTTAACTTGTTGCCACGAGGACCCAAGATCTTTTTCACACGTACTGCTCTTGAGCCACGCATCGCCCATTCTGTATCTGCATTTCATTTTTTCTGCCTAAGTGGAGTATCTTGTACTTATCCTTGTTGAACTTCATTTTGTTAGTTTTGGCCCATCTCTCTAATCTGTCAAGATCGTTTTGAATCCTGCTCCTGTCCTCTGGAGTATTGGCTATCCCTCCCAATTTGGTGTTGTCCGCAAACTTGATGATCATGCCTTCTAACCCTTCATCTTAAGTCATTAATAAAGATGTTGAACAGGATCGGGAACAGGACGGAACCCTGCGGCACTCCGCTCGTCACTTCTTTCCAGGATGAAGAGGAAGCATTGGTGAGCACCCTCTGGGTTCGTCCATTTAACCAATTACAGATCCACCTCACCGTAGTTTTGCCTAGCCCACATTGGGACCTTGTCGAAGGCCTTACTGAAATCCAGGTACGCTACATCCACGGCATTCCCCGCATCTACCCAGCTTGTGAAAAGAGATCAGATTAGTCTATCGAAAAAAGAGATCAGATTAGTCTGCCATGGTCTCTTTTTTCGATAGAGTTACAAGCTGGGTAGATGTGGCGAATGCTGTGGATGTCAGGCCATCAAATGCTAATCAAGGTGGGCAATTGAAACATTCACACCTAGTTCCAACAGACAAGAATTCTTTCTCCCATCCTGGACTTTCCACAGATATATAAGCCCCATTTGCCTAGTTTCCAACAGACCTCACAACCTCTGAGGATGCCTGCCATAGATGTGGGCGAAACGTCAGGAGAGAATGCTTCTGGAACATGGCCATACTTACAACAACCCAGTGATTCCAGCTATGAAAGCCTTCAACAATACAGTTGTGGTTTAGCTAAGACTTTAGCCTTCTCTGCCAAAGATAGCTGGTGTCTCACCAAACTTGCATAGCCTTGAGCCAGGATGCCAAACTGCGTTAATTCCACAGTGTGGATGCCCCCAGGGAAGGCAAGGGAAGCGCCCTCCTAAAGCCAAGTGCGGCCCCTGCAGGAATCCTTAGCATGTTACACCTGGAGGAAGGTGCGCTGCGGACAGGTGCAGAGAGGGGGGAGAGGAGAGAGAGAGAGAGAGCATTGGAGCGGAAGGAAGGTAAGAAGGCAGCCTCTTCCTTTCCAAAGAGAAAAGACCGAGGAGTGCTTCCCAGGCAAAGTGGACAAGAAACCCAACCCCTGAGCAAAGCCATCTCCGGAGGAACCGTGTTGAATTTGGAGTCGCACCAGGGAAGGGAAGGAAGGGCAAAGGGAGGAGGCGCCATGGCCTCTGGGTGGCCAGATCTAGCGCTCTTCCTCTTCCTCGCCTGCTTCCCGACAGGTGAGTCCCGAGGCGGGGCCGCAAGGTGCGTCTACACTGTCGCATTCATGCAGTTTGACCCCGCTTTCACTGCCAAGGGCCACGGCTATGCACTTCCGGGAGTTGCAGTACTTTTCTAAGTTCTTTCGCCTCCTCTGCCCGACATATATATAACAACTCCCACGATTCCCTAGCCTTGAGCCATGGCAGCTCAAGTGGCGCCAAACTAGATTCATCCCACAGTGTAGATGCGCCCCTGCTCTCATGGGTATTTCTCACCCCGAGGTAACTCTTTCTCTCTCGCTGTATTATGGACGGCTCCTCGAAGGTGACCCTTTCCCTCCTGTCCTCCCTTCCTGCTTGTCCTTTGAGCCACTTCCTGATAAACCTGTCACCAAACTGTTTTTGTTTTTCAACCTTTGTTTGCAAAAGCATTTTGTCGGAAGAAAAAAAAAAACAACCTCCAGATCAGATAAAAATGTGTGCCAGTTTCTTTTGAAGTCTATTTTTTTTAATTTACCAAAACATTTATTATTATTATTATTATTATTATTATTTTACTGACACAAAAACACAGTATGTCACAGCAAAGGAGATCTATATGCTGGATTTTGTATCGCAAAATCACAAGTCACTCTGGAACACTCTGCCACCTGAAGTCCATGCCTTGCAGGACTTATCAGTGTTCCGCAGGGCATGTAAGACATTTGTTTCGACAGGCCTTTGATCTTTGATATTGCTGTTTTTTATTATTATTGTTTTAGATTTTAGTCTGTTCTTGTAAGCCGCTCCGAGCCCTAGGGGAGTGGCGACATATAAGTTTGAATAATAAATAAATAAATAAAGTCGAACACTTCCCAAGCGTCTAGGACTGCATGATGTATTTTCGAATGATGCGCACAGTTCCAAGTAAGGTGGCCTTTTGCAGTTGACAGATCATGATTTTGTCAATGTTTATTGTTTCCAAATGCCAGCTGAGATCTTTTGGCATGGCACCCAGTGTGCTGATTGCCACTGGGACCACCTGTACTGGTTTATGCCAGAGCCTTTGCAGTTCGATTTTGAGGTCCTGATAACGGCTGAGTTTTTCCTGTTGTTTTTCCTCAATGCCACTGTCACCCGGTATGGTGACATCAATAATCCAAACTTTTTTCTTTTCCACAATCGTGATGTGTGGCATATTGTGTTCCAAAACTTTGTCAGTCTGGATTCAAAAGTCCCACAGTATTTGCAGGTTTATGATCCCATCAGTTCTTTACTACTGGCAGGTGGTACTTATGACATAAGTTCCAATGAGTCATTTGGGCCATTGAGTTGTGTCTCTGTTTGTAGTCCATTTGTGCGATTTTCCTGCAGCTGCTGAGGATTATTATTATTATTGGGTTGCTGTACATTTTCCGGGCTGTATGACCATGTTCTGGAAGCATTCTCTCCTGACGTTTCACCCATATTTATGGCTATTCAATGCTAATCAAGGTGGCCAATTGCAACATTCACACTTGCCTCAAGACAAGATGTATGTATAGATGTTGAAGGATGACATTGTCATATGTGAAGCTTTCAGTTGAATTCCCACCAGGTGTATTATGGATTTACAGGAGCTGAGGATATCAGCACTATTTGGCAATGAAGACTAAAGACATTATAAAACTACAGCTCCCATGATTGCATAACATTGAGCCATTGTATTTAAGGTGGTGTCAAACTGCAGTAATTGTACAATATAGATGCAGTCCAGGTGTTGCAGCAGAACTCACATAAAGTATTAGTGCCAATGATTTTTTTAATTAACACGAACAGTGGGTTTCGCTGTTTCCCAGGCTTTCATTGTCTTCCTGGCTTTAGCTAGAATCCTCTCACAATGGCTGAAAATGAAAAGGATTTCCTGGCAACAATAAATTGATCTCTGGACCCCTGGAATTTTGCCAATGTTTCTTTATATTGCTTCAACCCCTGGGCCTTACCATACTGTCACCAAAGTGTGAGATGAAGGTGTAGGCTTGATAGGCAAAATACTATATATGAACTTGCTTGGCCTTTCTCTTTCAATTTTTAATGTGCAAAACCACATAAACATCTTTAGTTCAGCTTGGCACTGCTTAGAATATTTGAGCTTTTTAAAATCTTGCCAACCACATATTTATATTATTTATCTCTACTGATATCACTATCTTTAGCTGTGCTAACAGGAGGAATAGTACAATTGGTTTATCTTTCTTATCTTTGATAGGGAAAACATAGGAATGTGTACTTTAAAAGCCTTCAGAAATTCTCATTGTTTCATTACGATTTCAATTTTTGGATCTTTGACATAATTGCTGGTTTGTAATCTTTGCGGTTATGTTTGGATTAAGTTTTGTCTACTGCTGTGTGTTCTAAATTGATAATTTTTCTACTCTTAATTGGTTGATGCTCTGAGAACATGTATTGTGGAACATGATCTTACCTGTGTACTGCCTGAAATTCCATCTTGCTGAGCGTGATATCAATAATATAGTAAATTGAGATAGAAATGGTCATAAATAAAAAATTGCTTGGAACCCAAACTGAGGAACTTTATATGCATTAATCTATCCCAGGAAAAACAGAGGGAAAACATAATCGATATCCACTCCTCAAATAAAACTGTGACCCTTGAAACAATATAAATGCTCTACAACAGTGTTTCTCAACCATCCTAATGCCGTGACCCCTTAATACAGTTCCTCATGTTGTGGTGACCCCCAACCATAACATTATTTGTGTTGCTACTTCATAACCTAATTTTGCTACTGTTATGAATCATAATGCAAATATCTTATATTCAGGATGTATTTTCATTCACTGGACTAAATTTGGCACAAACACCCAATAGGCCCAAATTTGAATACTGGTGGAGTTGGTGGAGGGGGAGATTTATTTTGTTATTTAGGAGTTGTAGTTGCTGGGATTTATAGGTCACCTACAATCAAAGAGCATTCTGAACTCCACTAATGATGGAATTGAATCAGTCTTGGCCAACAGAAAATACTGGAGGGTTTGGTAGGCATTGATCTTGAGTTTTGGAGTTGTAGTTCACCTACATCCAGAGAGCACTGTGGACTCAAACAATGATGGATCTGTACCAAACTTGGCACAAATACTCAATATACACAAATGTGAATACTGGTGGAGTTTGGGGAAAATAGACCTTGACATTTGGGAGTTGTAGTTGCTGGGATTTATAGTTCACCTACAATCAAAGAACATTCTGAACCCCACCAGTGAGAGAAACAGACCAAACTTCCCACAACGATCCCCATGCCTTGAAGGGACTTGCTGGCATGAGACTCCCTCCAGCCTCACATGCTCTCCCTCACCATGCTTCCATGCACCGAGCATGCTTGCTCTCCCTTCCCACTTAGAAACAGCCCTCCCTTTGGCTGAGAGGTCAGCTGAGAGACCGGTCAATCACAGTAGAGGAGGGCTTTTGGTGGGAGGATTCACTGTCTGTTTCCAAAAGGAAGAGGAGGACAGGTGGAGCGATCTCCAGCCTACTCTGCCAAAGGTGTTCCTAAGACCATCAGAAATATATGTTTTCTGGTGGTCTCTGGCAATCCCTCTGAAACCCCCCTCATGACCCCTCAGGGGTCCTGACTCACAGGTTGAGAAAGCTGCTCTATAAGCTTCCTGTTGTATTTGCAAAAAAAACCCACCCCAATCTAAACGCACCCCAGACTTCTTACAAAAACCAAATATGTATTGGGAAAATCCAAAGCATGGTCTGGAGAAGGTTCAGTAGTACAACAAGTAAAATGTTATTGTTGTTTTCATTACTTGTCTTTCAAGATCCATAACTGATCCAGGAGATTATGGAGGCTCATCCACTCATATAACCTTCTCCTACAAAGGGGAACTGCTTTGTCCTTATCACTCACATGACCAGCTAATTTTGGTTTCAGTCTAAAGAGACCCTGCAATTCTTTTTAGGTTCCAAAATTGTATAGATTAACCTTTTTATTTTTCTCCTCTTCTCATATAATTTATTGTATTTGTTGATAACTGATCTGTATGTTCTTCATTGTAGGCTGTATCTCTGTCCTGGTAACTGTCCCAGAAACTGAGCGATACACCATGTTATTTGCCTCTGTGATACTCAGGTGTGATTATAGTACCTCGGCACCATTGCAGGATGTGGTAGTTACCTGGCGTTTTAAATCCTTTTGCAAGGATCCCATCCTTGACTACTACTCTTTTGGTGAGTGTTTCTATTTGCTGTCTGCATTACTACTGTAAAGTGGTACTCTCCCTCAATGAGTAAGAGAGCCAGGTGGGGTTGTGAAATAATGAGGATTTGTGATTACACTACATTAAACAGTACAGTTGCCCCTCTCCATTTGCAGCTTTGACTTTTGTGGATTTGATTGTTCAAGGAATTTATTATTCACAATTGGATTTCAGTGTTCAGGAATCTCAGTGTCCTTCAGAATGACTCTCTCGGAGCCCTCCCACACAGCCATATAACTCAGAATTTCAAGGGAGAATATCTGCTTTGAACTGGGTTATCTGAGTCCACACTGCCATATATTCCAGTTCAACACAGATAATGTGGGGTTTTATTCAGCTGTGTGGAAGGACCTCGGAATCTCTAGGATCTCTAGCAAGAGCTATTTAAGAAGATCATACAGCTTCCTGGAGAAGATGTTTCAAATGCAGAAAGAAATATTCCTATGGGAGCTTCTTTGTGTTTTTAGAATTCATGCCATTGATTCAATTTAACAGATAGTTTTCATTTCGGAAATTTCAATAGCACTTGTCGGTCTCAAGCTTATTGATACTCAATTTCAGGTTTTTGGGATTTAAAGGCTCTCACAATTTCTATGGTCAGACCATAATGCATCTAGCATACATCACTTTTTCCTTCCCATTTAGAATAGGTCTCTATTCTAAATGTGAGCAATAGCCTAGCTATCTTTTCCAGTTCCCCGGCTGAGTTTTCCATGTCCCCAGGGAAGTTTGCAGAATCTTGAATACTACCAAAATCTGCTACATTACATTTGTTTATTTGGTTTTTTTATTTACAATAATTATATTCTGTCCTTCTCACCCTGAAGGGGACTCAGGGCAGATCACAATGCACACATGCATGGCAAACATTCAATGCCATTTTAGGTATACCAGACAGACAGATAGACAGATAGACAGATAGAGGTATTTCAGCATTTTCCAACTTTGGCACCTGGAGGTTATACTCTATTCCGGCCACAGCTGGGGTGCTGTCACTTCATCCGCTGTGACCCACAAGTCTTTTTTGATTGTAGAATTTTCCTCCTTGTTCTTTGATCACTGGTATTTTATGGTGTCATAAAACACCTCCCTGCTAAAGCAGTGCCTAATTTCTTTACTCACAGCTCAGCTGTTTTCGAACTGCTTAGGTGGACAGTGAGCTTAGGCTGATAGTTGGTTGCTCAATCTGACTCGGGCTTTGAACTTGCCACCTTCTGGTCAGCAGTGATCTATTGCTGCTGGTGATTAACCAGCTGTGCTACAGCCTGGTCCATTTTAAACATGTTTATTTAAGTTTTGCTGGCATTCATTTTGCACTCTCCTCCTTTGTCTGCAGCCTATCAGGCAAGCCTAGGTCTGGGCCAAGATCCTTCTAATGATTGCAATGACAATCAACGGGAAGTGCGAATTGTCGCTCAGAAAAGGGGGCAGAATGAACCTGTCCTGGGTGTTGATTACAGCCAGCGGAAGATCACCATTAGAAACAGTAAGTATTTGCTTCCTTTGGGAAATCCCTCATTACCACCATAGTACCAGTCATTCATGCTGTGAGCTCCAAGCTGACTGCAGTGTTTAGAGGGATAAGAGATCAATGTAGATTGTATGTTGATATGCTATAAACATTATATTTATACATCCAGTTACAATGAAAGACCTAGTTTTCCTGGAAGATCCTGTTACTGCAAACCACCAAGGAAGATGACAGATCACACGGTTCAATGTTCTTCTGTGTTATGGAGGAAAAAGGATGGAATCCTGTAGTGCTTGGACAACGACTTAAACAAAAGCCAATCATCTTAATTCATTAGACTTTTTTCCTTTGTAGAAGCAGATCTCGTGATCAATGAAGTGATGTGGTGGGACCATGGAGTCTATTACTGTGCTGTTGAAGCTCCAGGAGATACATCTGGTGACCCAGATAAAGAGGTCAAGCTCATTGTTTTGAGTATGTAGCACTATTTTATTTTTCTTCTTTTCAGAATTGCATTCTTTCTCCCATTCCTCACTTTTCTTACCATCTGTCATATTGAAAGGAAGAAAGCATGAAAATAATAGGATAAGTTTATGTATTTGTCTGTATCTCTTAAAAGGGGTTGGTTTAATCTCCAGTTTGCTAGTAAAACTGATTTACTGTATCACAAAATGATGCATGTTTAAAAGTGTGTTGCCAACATGAAATGTTCTGAAAGCTCTGCCTTATATGATGTATTATGTATTAAAATGCTGTCTGTCAGCAGAAATGTTTTTTTAAATATTGACATTTACAAACTAGAAGGTGTCCAGAGGAGAGCAATGAACAAAGGTCTGGAGGTTATGCCCTATGAGGAACGTCTTGGGTATGTTTAGCCTGCAGAAGAGAAGGGTGAGAGAAGACATGATAGTTACGTTTACATATTTAAAAAGCTGTCATAAGGAAGAGAGAACAGGCTTGTTTTCTGCTGCTCTGGAGACTAGTACTTGGAGAAATGGATTCAAATGACAGGAAAGGAGATTCTACCTGAACATTAGGAAAAAAAACTTCCTGATTGTGAGAGCAGTTTAACAGTAGAACTCTGCCTCAAAATGTGGTGGAGGCTCCTTCTTTGGAGGCTTTTAAACAGAGGCTGGATGGCCATCTGTCATAGGTGCTTTGATTGTGCTTTTCTTGCATGGCAGGGGACTAGACTAGATGCCCATGTGGTCTCTCTTGACCCCATGATTCTAAAAAACAATATCCAACCAAAATAAATTTTAAAATAAAAATGACAAGAAAAACAGTGAACAGTAAATTTATTTTGAGGTTGTCCTCTTCTTACCAGACTGGCTGACAGTAATCTTGATCATCATTGGTGGCCTGCTCCTTCTGTTGCTGATTGGGATATGCTGGTGCCAGTGTTGCCCCCAGCACTGTTGCTGCCATGTGCGCTGTCCCTGCTGCCCAACTCGCTGCTGTTGTAATGAAAAAGGTAAGTCATACAGCCAAGTTCCTGCCTCTTTTGCTGATTTACAGAAACAAATCCAAAATAACTTCTATGGAATACAGAACCTTTTCATATGAATCTCTATGCCCAGAAAGCTATTTTGACACTTCTGGGAGGATTTGGAGGCAGTGAGGGGAATGCTATCTTATACTTTACTAATTTAATACTTTTTGGAAGACACCAGGTCAAAAAGATTGAACTAAGTAAAAATGGAGGCTCTGTCAAAGTCTTCCTTGTGGTCAGATTAGTCATTGGGTTGTTGTAGGTTTTTTGGGTTCTGAGTTGTAGGTTTTTTGGGTTCACTACTTCTGAGGATGCTTGCCATAGATGCAGGCGAAACTTCAGGAGAGAATGCCTCTAGATCATGGCCATATAGCCCAAAAAAACCTACAACAACCCAGTGATTCTGGCCATGAAAGTCTTCGACAATACAGATTAGTCATTTGTCTTGAATGAAGAAGAAACTTGACTATCACTGATTTGGGCTCACACTGTCTTGTGACTGTGGTTTTATAAAACACACAAACTAAAAATCGATTTCTTTGTCTGTTTCTGTAGTCCTGGAACGACATCAATTCATGAAGCAGGCTCGACAGCTTTTGCCATGGATGGCACAACACTCCCAGTCATCTTCATACCAACTAAACCCACTGTTAAAGCGAGGTAGTTCAGTTGATGCCATAAACTATTGTGTAAATGGAAAGGGACATTCCTAATAGATGCATTCTTCCCTTTAGTTGTGCAAATGGATAGAGACATTTCTAATAGATGTAGTCTTCCCTTCAGTTGTGTAAATGGATAGAGACATTCCTAATAGATGTAGTCTCCCCTTCAGAAATAAAACAGGCATAGAACTCATAGAAAGACAAAGGTAGTCTTTATATCCACTCAATCTTCTATTTGATCCCAAAAGATTTTAAAGGTCCTAGTGCAGAGGTTGGGAATCATGTGTTAGACTGTAACTTTCAGTAGCTTTAACCAACATAGTCATTGGGACTTACATACAGAATGCACACAAACACCGGTCTAGTGTAAATATAAGTATCTCTTGTAACAATGGGGCATGAGTGATTAGTTTTCCAAGTAAAAATCAAAAAGCAAAAACTAGTGACAGTGAGATACTTGGAGAGTCTGTGTAAGGTGTCAAGAAGGATTTTAATTAATTTATTTATTTACGATATTTCTATCCCGCCTTTCTCAAGCCTGAAGGCGACTCAAGGCGGCTTACAAACTGTCAGCAATTCAATGCCATAAAAATCCACAATATACAATTAAAAAATTTAAAACAGCACTATAAAATCAATATAAAATCAATGCAATACAAAAACAATTTACTCTGAACTAGGGAACTTTTAGGCATCTAAGTAGCATTGAACATAGGGCCAGCCATACTATTAAGCAGAATGAGTTGCCTTAAGAAGCATGTGCTGGGTGGGAGAAATAGCAAGGTAATGGAAAAGAGAACTGTGTGTGCCCACTAATCTAGCCAACTTCCTTCGTGTCCTGGGGAAGATGGTATTATAGGCCAAAATGCTATTAATGCATTACACTGGCATAACTTTGCCAGCATGGCCAGAGGCAGCAAGATCATGGTCGTGGAGGATCATGATCATGGAGAAAGTAAAGGATTAGAACAGTGGTTCTCAACCTGTGGGTCCCCAGGTGTTTTGGCCTACAACTCCCAGAAATACCAGCCTGTTTACCAATTGTTAGGATTTCTGGGAATTGAAGGCCAAAACATCTGGAGACCCACAGGTTAACCACTGGATTAGAGAAATAGGCTGATCAGGCCCAACTTAAACTACTTCTTTGCCTCATCTTCATTGTGCAGCCCTGGAAAAAATGCATTTGTTGGTGTTGAGCACACCAAGTTTCTGGGCACTATGTTAACATATACAGCCATAACTAGAATTGAAGAAAGATTCAACTACCAGTTCAGTCAGCTTTTGTATAGTGAATGGGAGAGGGCATTGTTGTACTCTTCATCTTAGACAGCCAAACGTCTGATCCTGATAAAACAGCCCATCAGCTTTCTCTCACTGTGGATTTCTTCTTTCTTAGAAATGTCTACACATAGCAGTCAGCCTCTGATGCCTCCACTTCCTCAAATGCCCCACAGCAACAAGTTCTTAGACCATCTTGAGTCTGAACTCAGGAATCTCAACCTTTCCCAGCCTGTGCTGCCTTCACGTTATGTTGGGGTCAGCCGACAGCCTAGCATCCTTTCTTCTCTGGGCCCAGAGATTGTTGAACGCAGAGTGATCCAGCTGCCTCCCTTAGTGGAGCACATCCCTTCTTCTCAGAGATCTAGCAGTTCCTCACGCCCACGTCGGACTATCCATACCCCAAGACCACGTAGCACCCCAAATGAGGAAGAGAGGCCGGGGAGTAGGCGGAGGCGGCGTTTGTCTTTGGATGAAGATTTCCATTCCAGTGATGATCAAGAATCATGGAGCAGAAACAGGGAGCCCAGAGCTGAGAGGCAGAGGGATAGCAGCTATTATGACCGATCTCGGAGTTCTAGGCCAGGCACAGCATCCTTATTGCATAGTAGGAACAGTCTTCACTCCTATCCAGAGGAGGCTAGGAGGGAGACTTCCAGACAACAGTACTCTGACAGAAGATATCAGCGATCAGAGCGAGAGCCTTATCGACAGAGCAGTGATCGCAGGAGCCGCCAACGACATCGGAGCTATTCTCCCCCTTCCCGACGGGACTCTTGGAGCTCATCTGACGAGTCTGAGCGCCTCCGGAGGAAAATGAGACAACATTACCAGCATCGTTCCCCAAACTGGGCAGAGGATAAACCCCCCAGTTATACATCAGTTGAAAATGGCTCAGCCAAAGGTGGCATAAACAGAAGCCGGACAGAGCGGCAATCGGTAAATAGGTTTTATTTGTATAAATACTAGGTTTTACAGTGGATAAACATGAAATAGCTTATATGGTAAAATAACCGTTTTCTATAAGGTTCAAGATAAAATTGTGGCATGCGTGTGTACACACATACCACATGATTTAGTATTGTTGAAGTATTTTTAAAGTATTTAATCATCTCTTTTACATCAACCAATACTTTCATAGCACAAAATAAAGATATTTCTTAAAAATATGAAATAAATATTTAAAAAGTAGTTTTAGAATCTGAAGTGTGGCTTGGGCTGCCTACCAGTAGCTCAACAAGGAAGCCAGCTTAACATCCTTTGCGTAATAAAGATTTAGCTAGGAAGACACCCTTGCATCATGTATTCACCAGTCTAGTCTCTCAGGGGGGTATCTGAAGCATCAGCATCACTAATGAAGATGTTGGTTAAAGTTCCCTGTTCCTTTCAGGTATGAATGCTCTTCTTCTCTTCCTAGAGAAAGAAAATGACTAATAATAATAATACATTTTATTTGTTACCTGCCTCTCTTTATGGCTCGAGGTGGGGTACAACAAAGTCCAAACAGATCAACATAAAATACATACAATAAAATACATTTATAAAAAAAACACCATTATAAAAATATCAAACAGGGTGCAAAGGTCACTGTATAGTAGCAATAGAATGCAAACACCAAACTCATGATTCAAAGTTGACTGGTAGGCCTGCCAGAAGAGATGGATCTTCATTTGCATATTAAATTCTGACAACTGTTGGAGTTCTTCCAGCAGGTCATTCCACAGTCCTGGGGCGGCTGATGAAAGCCCTCTGGGTGACAGCTGCCAGTTGGATTCCAGCTGGTTGGAGTGAAGAGTCCCCCAGAGGACCTCAGTGTCCTAAGGGACAGTTTGTGCAAGGGAATGCAATCCTGTAGATAACCTGGACCCAAATCATGTAGCACTGTAAAGGTTATAACCAACATTTTATACTTTTCCCAGAAACTAATTGGCAACCAGTGGAGTGACTTTAGTATAGGAGTGATATATCACATAGAGCAGTACTCTGAGATACAGTTCCGTACTTTGACCTGTGTTGTGTTGCTATTAGGAATGCAGAAATTCCAAGTACAAATTGATGTAGCAGTAGTATTTGAGATACTCAAATAAGTCAATTAATGAGATACTCCAAAAAGTCAGTATCAGGAAATATACAGCAAAACTAAAAATGAATAGGGTCCTGATGCACTTTCTGGCCTTTAACTAATATCAGCTTTCATTCTCTCTTCTAGGAAAAAGACAGTTCTCGCAGTGGAAGGAGTGTGGTCCTCTAGCCCCTTTTTAGTTTGGCTCCAGCATCATAAGTGACTGTGTCTGCTCACTTGAGATATAGTCATCTCTGGTTGTGAACATTAGCCATCAAGCATCTCATGATTTCATGGTTTCCTCAACACTTTCTGCCTTCAGTTGTTTACTTTGAATACTTTAATTTCCAATATGGTTGTTTATGAAAAGGCATCACTATCCTAAGAAAAGTTCCTTGTTATGTATTTATTTTGTATTTAAGGAATATCCCAGCATTAGCCAGAGTGTCAGCCGTTGAAAAAAACATAGCCACAAGGGATACAAACCAGTAAAGCCATTGAAAATAAAGTTTCTTCATAAAAATGGTTAGAAATAGGCAGAAAAAATCTTTAGATGCCGATGCATGCTGAAGCCAGTATGCTTATGTGTTTGACTTCAGTCTCAACTGAGTTTACAATATGTTCAGAATGCTTTTTAATATCTACATAATTAAAAAGCATTGAGGACATAACTGGGTGGATCTTCCAGTTTGGGGGTTGAGCACCATCAATATATTGATCATATTCAGCGTTCTCTTTGTTCTGTAACTGATGCAAGGAGGTTGTGGAAATCCAAAATCATTGTCTGGATGCAAGGAAGACTAGGTGCTGCTGAATCAACTGAAGTTCAATCCAGACAAGACTCAAGTGCTGTTGGGCAATAAGAAAACCAATTTGGGATTGACATCACAACTTCTTCAAGCTTGTTGCTTAGGGGACTTTTCCTGGCCACTCCAAGCTCATGAAAGGTTGGGTGTCTTCAGGGCTCAAAAGTATTTTTGCCCAGCTTCAGTTAGTTTACCATTTCCTGTGGAAGGCAGATCTGGCCACAGTAGTTCATACCTTCAACACTCTCTGATTAGAGTACTGTAATTAGTTTTATATGGGGCTGCCCTTGAAAAGTGTTTGGAAATTGCAGCTAGTAAAATTAGCAGGAGTCAAACTGCTATTTCATGTGTCTGTGTGTGTCTTGTAAGAATTGCACTGGCTTCCCATGTGCTTCCAAGTTCAGTTCAAGGTTTTTGACTTAACAAAGCCTGAACTGACTTGAGGCCAGGACATCTGAAAGACTGCTCTTGTCATATAAGCCCATTAGAAAATTGAGATCCTCAGAGGAGACCTCATTCTATCAGATATAGTGAAGACAAGATATTCCAAATTGTGGGAATGGGGGAAGAGGACAATGTTGGTACTCTGGTGAACTCACTCTCCTTTGAGCCTAGTATGGAGAACTTTGGCCCCATGGGGGCTGTTTTGGACCACACCTCCCATGTTGCCTAGCTATTTTGCCTTTGCTGTCTGGGGCTTCTGGGAACTGAAATCCAAAATCTTACCCACACTCCTGTCTTAAGTCTTAGAAATTAAATTGAGCATCTCTGTAATCCCCGAAACATTAAAAAGCAGTGAATTTTATGTTTTATATTCTTTCAATGTTGTTAACTTGTTATGAAAGATGTATAACAAACTCTATAATTTATCTACTCCCTCTTCAGGGTCGGATCTGATTTTACTAGGTTCTTGTTCAGAAAGAATGGGAAGTTGCTAACTAATCCTGGAATTATACAAGAAGATGTCAAGTTTGTATGAGTGAAGTGTTAAACAGCTATGTAAATATGTTGTTAATTTTTAACAAAAGTCTGTGCTAGTTTGGGAAATACCTTCAAAGTTCCAGTGGTCTGGAAGCTTGCATTCAATAAACAACCCAACAGTTAACTCTTTGAATTTAACAATGCTGTGTCAGCTGGGGTATTCTGAGAAGAGCGTCAAAAAGACATATCATTTGCAAATAACGGGTTTTAGCTGAATCATGTCATGTGAAGGCTTGGCTACATTTTCCATTGAGAAATTTAGCACAAAATAAAAAGCACAAAGTGTGCACCTAGAACAGGCCAATACCTTTTTCTAATCAGATAATCTGTAACAGAAAGGGATTCAGTATGCAAGCTTTACATGTTGGGCTGCTGGGGATGGTGTGACTAGGATTTTCAGGTGCCTGTCTTATTTTTTAAATGTATTTCAATATTTTTATGTTCAATGGTTTAATGACACAAATTGTTATATTGTTTCTTAATGTTTATACTCATTTTAATGCATTTACGTTGTTTTTGCATTATGTCATATTTACTCTTAGCTGCCTTGAATAATAAATCACAGGACCCACAAGCCTATAATTGTCCCAATTAAGCCACATAGTAGTATTGATCTTAAGTCTCCTGTGTTCAGGACTGGAGGTACTGTATTTTCCTGTGTATAAGACTACTTTTTAACTCAGGTAAATCTTCTCAAAAATTGGAGGTCGTCTTATAGGGCGAGTGCTGAAACTTCCAAGCTGGACTGGAGAATCTGTGGTTACCGCATATGGTGGGAGGAGCTCAAAAATGGCCACAGCTGCATCCCCGCCATATGTGGTGACCGTATGAAAGCAGCAAGGGTGGCGCTGTACAAGTACGGTAGAAGAAAATCCACTCACCAGAATTCGTGGAAAGAAGTGACTTAACACGGTCCCGATGACAAGGTGAGGGGGTGCAAACTGCAAGCGTCTGGGACGCCCAGGGTATGGAAAAAAGAGTTAGAGCTGTGCTGTGCCCAGAAAAACATGCCTCTTTCACCCGTCAGGCCCGCCATTGTACCCTATTACCGTACCTCTTTCTCTGCCTCTCAGATCTCGCTTCTGAGGACTGCAGTGAAGCAGTGCAGGCACACAAGTGCGAGATCTGAGGGGCAGAGAAGGAGAAATGGTAATAGGAAAATTACCATATTGAAATCAAATCTGATGTTTTCTAAAGTTTTATTTTGTGTGTGTTGCAAGAGGGGGAGTCTTATACAGCCAGTATATCCCAAACACTATATTTTAACTGGGGGTCGTTTTATACACCCAGTTGACTTGTATGTCAAAAAATACAGTATATTATCGATATGTGCCACTTTTCCTTAGTACACCTTATTCCAACATCCCCCTCTCATAATAAGAACATTTGAGAGACTTTTGATTTCTTGCCATTCTTTTATCAACTCCGTGCACTATCCCAAATGGCAATGAAACCATTAGGAAAATAACATGGAGTGCAATTGTATACTTTTCAAAGAAGTTAATACAAAGAGCCGCTTTTTGTGTGAAAGAGCTATAGCTAGGTATGGCAATGGATTTCAGGCAGTCACCGGGATACATATATCTGACTTACAAACAAATCATAGTTAACAATGAGGCTTTTTTTTTTGTCATGTCAGGAGCGTCCTGTTGTGAGAGAATTTGCTGTCTGCAAGGACATTGCCCAGGGGACGCCTGGATGATTTTTGATGTTTTATCATCCTTGTGGGAGGCTTCTCTCATATCCCCACATGAGGAGCTGGAGCTGATAGAGGGAGCTCATCTGTCTCTCCTCGGATTCGAACCTGCGACCTGTCGGTCTTCAGTCCTGCCGGCACAGGGCTTTAACCCACTGCGCCACCGGGGGCTCCAAGAATGAGGCTGAGACAACAGGAAGTGAGAGAAATCTACCCGGAGGAAGGGAAATTCACTCCCAAAAGAGTTATCATGGGGGGAAAAAAGGTGTTTCAGCTAAAGCTGTATCACCAATCCTTGTTTCTATAACAAGGCAAAATGTTCAAAATGCAATTATCACAGAGACAGGAAGTGGGGTTAAATCTTCTGAAAAGGGGCACAGACAGAAAAACAAATGTTACAAGTGTGTTGACCCTTTCCTATGCTATCCCAAGCTTTAAAATATATACGTCTCGCTGGACTTACAGAGTTTGTGGTGGTACAAAGTTTGGCAGTTTGAATCTGCAAGATGGGGTGACCTCCCGTCTGTCAGCCCCAGTTCCTGTCAAACTAGCAGTTTGAAAACATGAAAATGTAAGTAGATAAATAGGTACTACTTTGGCAGGAAAAGGCAAAGAGACACTCTAAGCAATTTTGCTGGCGACACAACCAGGAGGTGACAATCTAGGCTTCTTGGCTTGGAAATGGAGAAAAGCACTTCTCCCAGAGCCAGAGATGAGCACCTCCTCCAGAAGCCGGAAATGAAAGGAGAAGCCTCTGCCTTTGTGTTTGTGTGTTTCATTGCATATGACTGTACAGGCATTGAATGTTTGGCTTTGTGTGTAGATGGTGTAATCCACTTTGAGTCTCCTAGGGGAGAAGGGCGGAATATAAATAAGGTGTATTATTATTATTATTATTATTATTATTATTATTATTATTATTATTATTATAAAATGTAGCTGTTCCAAATTACATACAAATTCAACTTTTAAAAAACATATAGAACCTATTTTGCTCGTAACTTGAGGACTCTTTGTACTTTTTAAAGGCAATGTCATTTGTTTGCATCATGATAATAATTAATTACCTACCTATGAATGCGTGAACTTGTTTATACAAGCAGATAACTACTTTTTGTTAATAGCAATTAATAAAGATGTACGAAGTCTTCAATTCCAGTAGTATAATAACCAAGTTCCAGTGTTGTGAAATTAATCTGTGACATGTACTGATGACTCATTTGGATCTCTCTTTTAGGGCGGCTGGGGCAGAACAGTTAATTCTAGTCAAAAGGCTTCCTTCATGATAAAGCAAATACTGCAAGTTGCAATTGACCAATATTGCAAAGGTTAACTTGTATTAAATTCAGCTGATTCAGATATTCTGAACCTGGGTCAAAGAATTCTTAGGTTATACTCTCAAAATCCTCCTTCAAATGTCTTCATAATGAAAAAAAACCTATTAGTTCTTTTAGCTGTAATAACAACGATGTGGTTAAACTGAAAAAGGAGGTCACATTTGTGCCATTTGGATGTCTGTGTGTATTTCATGGTACACTGTGTTGCTGCAATGGACTCTGTTGTGAAAGAGGCGATTTAAAACAAACTGGACTTCTGACCCCTTGACTACAGCTATTTGAAGTCTGTTGGACCTGACAATGTTTCAGAATCAAAAGGGACACCAGTTACAATAATCAAGAGAGGTAGGTGGAAAACACCCTAATACCAACTGATGAAGGGAGACTTGTATGTGTCTTTTAAAACACATACCAAAAATCTATATCTGAATAGAATAGCTCAAACAAATAAGATTGGTAAAGGGCATCTTTAAAATGTTATCTCATATACCAAGTGGCCCATTTTCTCCGATTCCCCTGAAACTGTATCATGTAATAAGGGACACGAGTAAAAATCACTTAGTAAAATTATACTATTATGAAGTATCTGCAACCTTAACTCTTTATGGTTTCAACATTAAGGATAATATATAAAATTGTACTCTGCTTAAGAATGATGTTAATATAGTATTTTAGACCTCCAACTTTTGTTTTCAGCAACTGAAGAAGGCAGAAATTGATTTTTTGTTATTATCTTTAATAAGATATAATGTATATACACATATGCATACAGACACACACACAAGCATGCACATAGACATGCGCGCTCATGGATACCTACTAAATATTGCTACTAAATTCTTGTAGTTGAAAGCAACAAAACTTAGAAGAGCTTTCTCTTCTAAGAAACCTCTACTGATGGAGCTACAGTGAAATGGGTTTTTACTATTTTCTTTAAAGTGTTTCAGCAGATTTTTTGTATTTTATGATGTTTTCAGTTGTTATTTTATATATTAAGTTTAATTAGGTTGTGTTATATTGTCGAATGCGTTTATTTTGATACAATTGTCTGCATGGTTACTTCCCGGCAATTGAATGTTTGACTTACATGTTGGAAACTGCCCTGAGTCCTGTCGAGGAGATAGAGCGGTATCCAAATAAATACATTATTATTATTATTATTATTATTATTATTATTATTATTATTATTATTAGAAACACAACAAGATGAGTCCACAGCAAACAAGATCACTCTGCTAGCTGTTGTATTGGATCACACATGGGACACTTCCCAAGTGACTAGGACTGTGTGATCTATCGGTGAATAATGTGTACAGATCCCAGTAGGGTGGCCTTTTGCAGCTGGCAGGTAGTAATTTTGTCAGGGCCAATTGTGTTTAAGTGCAGGCCAAGGTCATTAGGCACTGCACCCAGTGTGCCGATCACCACTGGGACCACCTTTCTTGGCTTGTGCCAGAGTCTTTGCAGTTCAATCTTTAAATCCTCATACCGTGTCATTTTTTCCAATTGTTTCTCTTCAATCCTGCTGTCGCCTGGATTGCAACATTGATGATCCATACTTGTTTTTTTAACACAATGGTGAGGTTAGGAGTATTGTGCTTCAAAACTCTGTCAGTCTGAATTTGGAAGTCCCAGGATAGTTTGATGTGTTCATTTTCTGTAATGAACACGTCAGCTGACTCTGAAAAGCCTGTCAGAATATAGAAGTTTCATAGAGTCCACTATTCTCCAACATTTTCTATAATTTTGGTGCATATACATAGCAGAAAACAGTACACACAATGAGGAAACACATTGTGTTAATGGGTACTTTTGGAGAGCAAAGAAATGAGTAAAAAGCATCAGCTCTCTGTTTTCAGTGGTGGGCTTTCTGTATGATGTTATTGGTTTGTATCAATAGGGTAACCCTGTTACTTCTTCTTTACAAGTATTCAAACTTTCTTTTTTGCAGTACTCTACTATAAAATAGTACCACCAAACTCAACTGAACCATGATACCATCTAAAGCTTTAACTGTTGGTCTTCTTCTTCTTCTTGGATCTACATTGTCTGGTAGGAAAGAAAATTCCTGTTTTCATAAGTTTGGTTCAAATGTTTTCCTTGCTTAAAATATATGCACTCCAGTTAAAGCCTAGCCTGAAGTGTGGAATGCATGACTCATTCATACCTGTTTGCTGCTAATAAACAAAACATCATTCAGCTAATTCCTGGAAAAGGACATGGATGACCAAGCACTACTGTTGTATTATGATGCATAAAGGCAAATAAACATCCAGTTCAAATATTTGACTGTGTTCAGAGACCGTGATTTATTAATACTGAGAAATGCAGATTTTAAGAAATAATATTAGTCAATTAATGTACTGAAACCATCCAATAAAAGTGCCTTTTCTGAGGATTTTAAAATAAGGAATAATGTTATTGTGTGAAGTCTCTCGGGATTTGATATACTTTGGCAACAAAATTCAGCAATTATTGTTATAAGAGAAGTTCGTCCACCTATTTTACTAAAAATTTGCCTCCATCAAGTATCATAATTGGTATAATTGTATCCATCAACACACACACACACACACACAAACACACACATATGGGGTCTTTCTACTTACTTCCTGTGTTTATATACTATTAGGATGGACATCAGATTCACTTTTTTTTCTTTCCTCTTTCGCAGAAGTTAATGGTAAAGCCATCTCAAAGAGACATGTCCGGCGAGACTGGCTGATCATCCCTGACACAATTGCGTTTTATGTGTATGAGTCAGTGAACAAAGTGTCCCCTAAAACTGCTGAATACTTGGCTCAAGCTGTCCAAATCCCCTTCATTCTCGAAGCAAGGTATGATATTTGGCAAAAATAGTTGGCATGGACTCTAGACTCACCCGGGGCCTATTGTCTGATCCAAAGGACAAGATGGGGGACCCTCCCCAGTCCATGGACAGAATTTGGTTTAGCATGCAAAAATGTTCCCAGCTATGTTTGAAGTAGCACAGTAGTTAAAGGGTCCCAGTTTGGGTTGTGCAGCATAGACACTTTTGTTATTGAATAGCTAGAGAGTTTAGAACAGGGGTGTCAAACCCATTCTCATTGATGGCCATATCAGCCATATGGTTGCCTTCAAAGGACTGCTGAATCCATGGACGGAGTTAGTACTCTTTAGTTTTTATCCAGTTTGGGTCCCCAGAAGGTATTGATTGACAACTCCTATTACTTTTGAATATCCATCATATGGACTGGGATAATGGGAATTGCAACCGAATAGCTCTTGTGGTTCTGAAGTTGGGAAAAGGTTAAAGGAGATTTGAGCATCAGACATCATATTCACAAGCCTTGTATCTGAATACAAACCCCACTATTCTGACTAAACAGAACAAACTGCTGCCTTCCAGATTTTATTGTATCACAATTCCCATCAATTCTAGTCATGATGTTTAATGACAAGGAATACTGGAGTGGTACTCCAGCATCTGGAGGACCACATACAACAAGAACAAAACTTTATTTATATACCGCTCTATCTCCCCGAGTGGACTCAGAGTGGTTTCCAAGTAACATCATCAATACATACAGAGCAAACAACATAAGCATAAAATTAACAAAGTAATATAAGCATAAAAATCACAATAGCACATATATATTTAAAATAATCCTGCCTGTTCAAGGCAATTTAAAAAGGCCAGGCCGAGGCTAGTGCAATTTCTAGAGGGCTCGGGAAATTAGGTGCAATGCTATAGCAGGCAACAACAATAATAGGTATAGTCTATGGCTGTTCATTTCTGGGGTCTAATAGGAGGAAGTGACCTGGATAAGTGGTAGAAAAAGATTTGGCCATATTCAACAATATCTGGGGCTGAGCTAGAACTAGTCATTCTCAAAGGCTTGTTTACACCACCAGGTCTTCAAGGGCTTACAAAAGGAGGGGAGGGATGAGGCCTGTCTTATTTCTCTAGGAAGGGCGTTCCAGAGGCAGGGAGCCACCACCGAGAAGGCCTTCTCTCTCGTGCCCACAAACCGTGCTTGTAACAGTGGTGGGAGTGAGAGGAGGGCCTCCCCAGAAGATCATAAAGTTCGCGCTGGTTCATAGAGGGAGATACGATCGTGAAGATAGGCGGGGCCTGAACCATTTAGGGCCTTATAGGTCATAACCTGCACCTTGAATTTGGCTTGGCAACTTCTTGGCAGCCAGTGATGCTGTTTTAAAAGGGACATTGTATGCTCCCTATAATTTGCTCCAGTAAGGAGCCTGGCTGCCACCCATTGTACCAATTGGAGCAAGTGAAATGGCAGGCTAGATTCGGCCCGTGGGCCTTGAATTTGACACTATTAGGAGGAACCAATGGGAGATTGCCACTGCAAAAATCTTTTGATTTTTGGAGTGGGTGGATTTGGGAGATGCAAAATGCAGACATGAACATGTTGGAGCCCTGCTGCTAAGCTGTTCCAACAAGTGTTGTTTACTTCCCATCTTGCAAACAACAATACACTTCTTTATCTATAATTCTGAATGCACACAGTCCATTACAAACTCCCTAACATAAATGTTGATTTCCTCCAGGAACATCTTGATAAAAGAAACATCTAAAATCAGTGTGCAATTTGAGGAGCTGGTAGAAAAAGTATCTGGCTTATGGAAGAAGGACGAAGAAGGGACAGCACAACAATAGGAATGAACAAAATGTTAACAGCATTTTCTGCATTGTGTAAGATCTCACATTCATTGAGAAAAATACAAAAGTGTAGTATTTGATGTTGTCACTAGAGGGAGACAGGAGTCCAATTCTAACAAGGACAGATTCTACAAACAAACTTCCCATATCATCTATTGTCATTTACCTTTTCTGTTGTGAATCACAAACTCTTTCTTTTGTATTGTATCACTATGTGACCCCGATGTTTACAAAAGGTTCTCTTTATTCATATCTGCTAACTAGGAGTAAAGCTTCACCAGCCTGAAAAGCTTATGCTATGAAAAATGTTTGCTTTTCATTATGTTTGTTGCAAAAGAGAAAAATAGGAAAGTTGTTATCACAAAAGTGCAATTTTATTTTATATGACATCTCTTCCTCTTAAAAAGTTTATATGGTTTATTTGAAAATCAATGTTACTGTAATACCTTTATCAGACTAAATAAAAAGGGATAAAAAAGTAAGTTTTTGTAATTTCTAGATTTCTGATTCTCTCATCAAGGGATATTAGGCACAACACTTCAATACCTGAAATCCATAACTTTGTCCAGGTGGTGCAAATGAGATGTAGAATTTGGAGTATTGCCTTAATGGAAAAGGCAACATGTCCTCTTAAGTCTATATGAGAAGTGGCTTATAAAGTTTTAACAACATATTTTTTATATTATATGCTAAATGATTTTAATTGTATTTTATATCTGTTGGGGCATCGAACTGCCAACTGTAAACTGCCTTGAGTTGTTTCGGGTTGAGAAAGGCGGTATACAAATATTGTAAATAAATAAATAAATACATTTGTTTATTCAGTATGCAAATACAACTATAATTGGACCACCAAGTCAAGTCACTTGTCTTGGCATTTTAAAAAAATAAATAAATACAATTGTAATTAGAACAAGATCTGGAGAAGAAATATGATACAGAAAATAAGAGGATCATCAAATTATAATGAACTGTATATTAGCTTTAGATATAAGAATCTATAGAGCAGTGTTTCTCAACCTTCCTAATGCCTGACCCCTTAATAGATGTTGTAGTGACCCCCAACGACAACATTATTTTGGTTGCTACTTCATAATTGTCATTTTGCTACTGTTGCAAATTGTAATGTAAATATCTGATATGCAGGATGTATTTTTATTCACTGGATCGAGTTTGGCACAATTTATTTACCCCGCCCCCCCGGGGGGGGGGGGGCTGCTTACATCCGGCACAATTGGATGCCATTACATATAAATAATACATACAGAATTACATAAAAAACATAGTAAATTAGTTTTAAAATTAGTTTTAAAATAAAAAGATCATTAATAAAAAGTGCAATAATACTGGCTGTCTAGCCTTATGTAGAAACGAATTCAGCGAGCACAATACAATCGGAAGCCTGTCCATAGTCCATTTTCCATAACATTATCATTATTACCATTGTCAAATTATCTGCCGACTACCCAAAGGCGTGGTCCCATAACCACGTTTTCAGTTTCCTCCTGAAGGCGAGGATGGATGTTGTTGACCTGATTTTGCTGGTTGAGCGAGTTCCACAGGTGGTGGGCCACCACCGAGAAGAACCTGTCCCTTGTCCCCGCCAAGCGTGTTTGTGCCAAAGGCGGAGCCGAGAGCAGGACCTCTCCAGAAAATCTAAAACTTCAAGGTGGGACATAGAGGGAGATATGTTCAGACAAGTAAGCTGGACCAGAGCCATATAGGGCTTTATAGGTCAAAACCAGCAAATATCTGATACGCCCAAATTTGAACACTGGTGGGGTTGGGGGGTGGGTGTGTGATTTTGTCATTTGGGAGTTGTTATTGCTAGAATTCACCTACAATCATAAAACATTCTGAAATGTACCAGCAATGGAATTGAACCAAACTTAGCACACAGAACTCTCATGATTAAAAAAAAAATACTGGAAGGTTTTGGATGGGCATTGATCTTGAGTTTTGGAGTTGTAGTCCACCTACATCCAGAGAGCACTGTGGACTCAAACAGTGATGGATCTCTCTCAAACTTTGCACAAATACTCAATATGTCCAAATGTGAACACTGGTAGAGTTTGGGGAAAATAGACCTTGACATTTGGGAGTTGTAGTTGCTGGAATTTATAGTTCACCTACAATCAAAGAACATTCAGAACCTTTCCAATGATAGAATTGGGCCAAACGTCCTACACAGAACCCCCATGACCAACAGAAAATACTGTGTTTTCTGATAGTCTTTGGCAATCCCTCTGACACCCCCTCATGACCCCCCCCCCAGGGGTTCCAACCCCCCACGTTGAGAAACACTGCTATAGAGAAACATTTTTGGTTTTGTGCTATGAAGGGAAGAGTTGTGTCTGTTGATTTGCTTTGATTTGGTTACAATATGGCATTGTTTGTTGAACTGGACTAAAATGAAATAAAAGTCACTGGGTTACTCAGTCTCTTGTAGCCTAACCTAATTCACAGAATTGGTGTAAGAATAGATTTGGGAGGAAAAACATGTTTGGTGCCTTGAGCTAATTGAAGCAAAGGTCAAATAAAAATTTAATGAGTAAAAAATAAATAATGCTGCTTGCTGGACCAAATAGTTGCATGAAATTTACATGGTTTGGGATTCCAAGTAAATGTGTGGACCATGTGTTTTAATTCCTCACTTTGAGCAATACAGGTGTATTTCACATTTACTCAAGAGCACTTTGCTTATCAAGAGCACTTTTCAGTTAAACAGTACAGCATCATTTTGTTGCACATGCTTAGACTGTTTATGTATTTGGGTATTTCATGTCGGTGTCACATTGTGGCAATTTAAAAAATATATTTTCTTTTGCATGATTTTTTAAAAGTCCACAATTAATATATTTTAATTTAAATATCTATATAAGTGTTTATATGTACTAGCAAGTAAAAAAAAAAGGCTTTGATTCACTTTAATATGATGTCCACTTTATGGCAGTGGTCTGGAACTGATGCCCCATCAACACTTCCATGTAATCCAGTTTCTCAATCCAGATTATTTAAACTGGATTATATGGCATATAATCATAAAATCCAGTTCAAAATAGATCATCTGGATTCAGAAACAAGATTATATGGCAGTGTAGATTCAGCCTGCAACTGCCATATCAGCAAAGTATACTTGTACGGAATTTTGTTACAGCAAACTCCAGTTCAGAAACATACACTTTCAGTTAATTCAGGCTCCATCTATACTAGCATATCATGCATTTTCAGAATACAGTATAACTGCATTGAACTGCATTATATGGTGGGGTAGACTCTGTTGGAGCATGTAAAAAAATCAGTGTGTGTGTGTGTGTGTGTGTGTGTGTGTCAACTGTAAAATAAGATTCATGAAATTGATTGGTTGGGCTACACTCGGGGAGCTGGCTAAGCCTGGGACTTTTGGGTACTGTTACATTTTGTTCAGGCTTTTGCTATGCAGATGCTTAGAGAAAAGCAGAGAGAAGCAGAGAGAGAGAGATTTTGGAGTGTGTTCTCACTGCTGCAAGAGTTTATCCACATGGACTAAGAAAGACCATTTTAAATCTGATCACACTGTACATATGTTGTTCTGAACTACAAAGAGTAAACAACTTGTTCTTTATTGCTCATCTATGTGGCATATTTTCTTTCTCTGGCAAGGCAGTGTGTGGGCTGATCAAACATGAACTACACATGGTTTATTTTACACTAGCTGTTCCCTGCCACACATTGATGTGGCCCAGTCTGTGTATATGTGCTTTTGTATGTGTATATATGTGTGTGTGTGTATTTGTTTATATGTGTATATATGTGGTTTTGCACATGCATTGTAATGTATTTTTTAATTTTTGGCTTTTTAATTCTCTTCTGCTGTGTTTTTTGTGTTTTTATGAGTGATGGTCACTTGTTGGCCAGATAGGTGTATTGTGTCCAAATTTGGTGTTAATTCATCCAGTGGTTTTTGAGTTATGTTAATCCCACAAACGGACATTACATTTTTATTTATATAGATTATGCCACAGACTCATGTAAAACTGCATACTGAAACTGCATTATATGGCAGTGTTTTTTGTTTTTGTTTTAGTGTTACTAAGCATACATAAAAATCCGAGAAGCCAGCATTGGCAGTAGCCCTGCCATTTATGTCCTATTCCCTGACAACTGGAGATTTCAAAAACCTATTCTATGAGGTATAAGAATCTACCCATAGAAAAGAAGTAATTGTTGCGACCACCTGATTTGCTCTAGGAAGCACTTCACCGACACAGGCTCTTAAGGCTCATTTAGTATTTCTTATGTATACTGGGTGCCAGGCAACAGTTGGTGAGAAGCATATCTTTTCCTTTTCTATTACATGCACACTCGCAGACTGTTCATTTTAAATCTGTACTTGTGAAGGGGATGAACTTTCAATATATCGGGTTTCTGTCTGAGTAACTATGAGAATGGAAAGACAACAGCTTTGAACTTTTAATTTCCTCTCCAGTCTCTCTTTCTGCCCTGATTGTCTTCAAAATGTCCTTCTGCAGCCATGGAGATCAGAAATTGTTTTTTAAATACAACTATCCTATGGACCAGGCATGGGCAAACTTGGGCCCTCCCAGTGTTTTGGACTTCAACTCCCACCATTCCTACTGCTGAACAGCTCTCACAGTCAATAAGTTCTTCCTAGGCCACTTCCACGCTGTTGTATAAAATTCCACATTTTCTGTTTTGAACTGGAATATATGGCAGTGTGGACTCAGATAACCCAGTTCAAAGCAGATATTGTAGGATTTTCTGCCATGATAATCTGGGTTATGTGGCTGTGTGTAGGGGCACCTAACATTCAAGTAGAATCTCCTTTCCTGTCATTTGAACCCATTAAGTCCTTCTCCGAAGCAGCAGAAAACAACCTTGCTCCCTCTTCCTTATGACATCCTTTTACATATTTATTTATAACTGGTGATCATGTCTCCTGTCAACCTTCTCTTCCACAGGTTAAACAGACCCAGCTCTTCTGAAGCCCAGGTAGCTTGGCTAGCAATCAGGAAGTCTGGGAAGTGAATATCTGGAGAAGCAAAGTTGGGGAACCACAAATTTAACCAATCCCTCCCTGATTCACTTGTTGTCAACCACCAACTGTTAACACTCACCACAGAAAGAACGTTGGTCCTTTTTAAAAGAACCTTCTGCCACTTACAATTTTGAAACCTGTCATACCAATCAAAATAAATTTACCTGATCTGGCCCCATCTAGATTTTTTAAAAAGTGCTTCGAAGTCAACAAAATCTGCACTGGGCTTTCCCCAAGTGAACTTCCCTTTCTTTCCTTTCCTCTGTTAGGTCTCCTTTAGAAAAACTATCCCCCTTTCCACTCATACCTCCCTCACTATATACATTATATGCCATACAGGTATTAAAAACTGAAAAAAATCTGGATAAAAGCATAGACTCAATATGTATAAGATTTTCTTTTACCTTCTTATGAATTGAGAGTGGTTTTAGATTTAGTTTTATAGTTTATAGTTTAGTTGCCCCTGGTTGATACACCTGAATAAAGGGGCACAAGTCTCTATTACTATGAAGATGAAAGAAGAACACTATAACACGCAGGCCTATGCAAATGTGCCCATAAATAGAATTTGGTTTAGTATGCTTCAGTTAGTGGTATAGAAGTCCACCACATCTAGCACTAACATCATGTACATAAAACTTTTTTTTTCATCTGGTTGTTTTCCCTAGGAATGAATTTAACAGTACAGACCGTCCCCAAGTTACAAACACCTGACTTAGAAATGACTCATAGTTAAGAACAGGGGGCCGGGTAGTGTGAGACAACAGGAAGTGAGAGAAATCTACCCTTTGGAAGGGAAATTCACTCCTGAAAGAGTTATCATGGGGGAAGGGTGTTTCAACTGAAGCTTTCTCACAAATCCTTGCTTCCACAACAAGCCATTTTTTCAAAATCCAATTCTCACAGGGACAGAGGTAAAAGGTTTTCCTCTGACCTTAAGTCCAGTCGTGTCCAACTCTGGGGGTTGGTGCTTATCTCCATTTCTAAGCCAAAGAGCCAGCATTGTCCATAGACACCTCCAAGGTCATGCGGGTGCATGGAGAATCGTTACCTTCCCACTGGAGCGGTACCATTTGACCTACTAACACTTGCATGTTTTCGAACTGCTAGGTTGATAGAAGCTGGGCCTAACAACGGGAGCTCACCCTGCTCCCCAGATTTGAACCTGCGACCTTTCAGTCAGCAAGTTTAGCAGCTCAGCGCTTTAACTCACTGTGCCACCAGGGGCTCCCACACAGGGACAGAAAGTGAGGTGAAATTTTCCAAACGGGCACAGACAGAAAAACAAACACCACAGGGGTGATTAACCCTTCCCCATGCTATCCAAAGCTTAAATACTTAAATACACTTAAGAAATGTTTCTGTTCCGACTTACATACAAATTTGCTTAAGAACAAACCTACAGAACCTATTTTGTCGAAGACTTTCATGGCCGGAATCACTGGGTTGTTGTAGGTTTTTTTGGGCTATATGGCCATGTTCTAGAGGCATTCTCTCCTGACGTTTCACCTGCATCTATGGCAAGCATCTTCAGAGGTACCTCATTACCTCTGAGGATGCTTGCCAAGGATGCAGGCGAAACGCCAGTAGAGAATGCCTCTAGAACATGGCCATATAACCCAAAAAACCCTACAACAACCCAGAACCTATTTTGTTTGCAACTTGAGAACTGCCTGTATAAGTATATTCATTGTTTGCCTTTTCTCTTTTGGAAATGCAGAATTAATGCAGTTTGACATCACTTTAAATGCCATGGCTCAGTGCTATAGCAACCTGGGATTTGTAGTTTGGTGAGGTATCTGCGCTCTTTGGCAAAGAAGGCTAGAGTCCTTGTAAAACCACAGCACTCACAATTCCAGAGCTTTGAGCCATGGCAGTTAAAATGGTGTCAAACTGTATTAATTCCACAGTGTAGATGCACCTTCTTATCCTTTTGACTTTTACATTTGGGTAACTGAAAAAACATTCTTTTGCAATGTTTTTGTTAATTTTCAATTGTTTTAAGTTAAGTTTTTTTGCCTAAATATATTTTAACACGTGAAACCGTTTAATGTTTGATTGCATTTGATTTCATCTTTCTATAAACTTGCTTAAATCCCATTTTGAGCATAAAAATCAGGTACAAATCACACACACACACACATACACACACAACCTCTTCTGTATCTCTCGGGAGTCTTGGAAAATATTGTGTGACTTTGAATAATGAAAGTTTAGCTAAAGTCCGTGAGAAGAGACCTTGCGTGCAATGAGGGTTTCTCTACTGAGAAGAGAAATTAGTCATCTCCTATTTAAATATGTCAAAGATTGCTCACTGCTTGGTGAGGATCAACGGAGATCAATTAAACCACGCTTGTTATGCTTGTGCTGCTAACTCAAAGGGTGAAAGTTTGGGGAAATTCAAAGGTTCATTGACTTCATAACCCCACATCTGAACTTTTCCATATCATACTTCTCTAGCATTCAGAATGCATTGAGGAATAGCCTCCATAAGGAAGGCGATCCACACTTTGCACCGTATGAGAATAGCTGAGCAGAAGAAGACCTGCCATGCATTTGTCTTTCAGGTAGGACTGGAAAAAGAAAATGGCTAAATGGGGACTGGAACAGGGGTGGAAAGAGCAACATATGTCTGGGTGGTATGAAATGAATAGACAGAAATGCTTCTACCTCTTTCAGGCCTCAATCCAAGGTCACCCAGAAGAACCTTTGCTTGTGCAGTGAGATTTGCCCTTGGATTTCTCCTCATGGTGCCTCAGCACCTGGAGCAGGTTTTTTTTTTTTGATGTAGTGACACATGAGGTTTTATTATTGTTCTGTACCTTCTATTCATTTCTGATTCATGACAATCCTAAGGCAATCCAATCACAAGCATTTCTCGCCAGAATTTGTTCAAAGAGATTTGCTACTGCATTACTCCAGCCCCTGACAGATTTTGTGCCGTTTGTGTCACTGCTGCAGCTTCAGCTGTTGTTGTTTTCTACAGGGGTCACACAATTCCTTTGCTGAAACTGCTTCACTAGCAGTCAGTTCATTGGTTCAACATTGGCAGTCTTTAGGAGCCTGAAAACCTTCCAGTGTGCCTTCCCAGAATAAGAAGAACTCTCAGCAATATATCCTCACAATGCACTTTAATATTGACTTAGGATGGACTGTGCTCCCTCATTTCTCTCTGAAAAATCCTATCCTATCCTAGTTATATTTTACCTTGTTCACGTCAGCATTTTTTCAATTTTAATCTATTACATTTGGCCCAGCCACTTTTAAAATTGTTTATGTCACTATTGATTGTTTTTTGTTTATGTGATTTATATGATTTGTATTTTATTGATTGTTTATTGATGTTGTGTTTATTGATGTTTTGTTTGATGTGCTTTGGGCTTGGCCTCATGTAAGCCGCACTGAGTCCCTTGGGGAGATGGTAGCGGGGTACAAGGTGAACCTATCACAGGGTTTTCTTGGCAAGATTTGTTGAGAAAGGGGTTGCCATTGCCTTCCGCTGAGGCTGAGTAACTTGCCCAAAATCACCCAGTAGGTTTCCATGGATCAGTGTGGATTTGAACCCTGGTCTCCCAGTATCCTTGTCCAATCCTACAACCACTGTTCCATGCTATGAAGTGAGTGTTGGATAAACAACAACAACAACAACAACAACAACTTTATTTTTGTTCCCCACCTCCATCTTCCTGAAGGGACTCGGGGCGGCTTACATGGGGCTAAGCCTGATCAACACAGCTTAAAATGTAACACATTAAAATGCATAACAACAATATAAAACAAAATAAAACACCAACATTATAACAATATATAAAAGAGGCGTCAAAACCAACAACCAATAACAAATTCAATTTATTGTCACGGGTGGGCGGACTGGTGCAACAACAATTTAAAGGATAGGCTAGTGAGTAAAGTGCATAGGTCATATGGCAGCAGTAAGGATAAGAGCAATAGTAAAGTGCAAGGACAAGATTTTGGGTCCAGCTCTTTGCGGAAAGTGGACAGGGTTGGTGCTATCCTAACCTCCCTGTGTACCAGCTGCACCCTTACCTTCAAAAGCCAATCTGGCCACGGTGGTCCACGTCTTGGTTACATCTCGGATGGATTACTGCAATGCACTCTAAGTGAGCCTGCCTCTGAAGACGGCTTGGAAATTACAACTAGTACAAAGAACAGTGGCTAGGTTATTAACAGGAGCTACCTACAGGGAGCATACCACCCCCCTGTTTAAACAGCTCCACTGGCTGCCTATGTGTTTCCAAGCCCAATTCAAAGGGCAGGTTATTACCTATAAAGCCCAGCATGGTTCAGGTTCATATATTACCTAAATTCACTGTCTGAGAAATGAAGGGTTCTATATCAGTAAAACTTTTCAGGAAAATGATTCACCTGGATGAAAGTGAGCTTCTAGATTTTTTCCCCCGTTAAGCTTTCAAGCTTCTTTTAGTGCTGAAACTACCTTGGTTGTCCTGTGGAATGACTTTGCCAAGAAAAGGGTATTGGGAGAGAATAACCATATTTGTTTGTTAGTTTTATTAATTTTGTATCTTGCTTTTCTTGAGCAAAAGCAGGACCCAAATTGGCTAATTCTGAAATCAGATGAGACACAGTTAAATCATCTTGCTTTTGTGTTTCCCTTAATGCTGTTTCCAAATTATGCCAATGATAAATCATATCACATGGTTTTTATTATGTAGATACGTGCAAATACAAGTATTCTAAAATTCCTAAAATTCCAAGCATTCCATTTAAGGGATACTCATCTTTTCCAGTTTATTGGGAGAGTTACTTTTTAAAGATTGTAAGTATAATGGTAAATATAAATAACCACTTCCAAGATGTTGTAACTGTTACTGTTGACTTAAATGTAAACCTCAGTTAGGGGAAACCAAGGGAATTAAAAGGATCTCGTTACACCATCCTTTGAGTCAGTGGGTCTAATCAATTATAATTAACAATCAAGTCGAAGTCTTTTTTTTAAACTTATTTTTAAGTTCTGGAAAAGGCCAGTGAGTCAGACGCTATACTGTACGGAAATACAATACAACTAATTTCATCCACTTAATGTCAGGGTCTATTCCTTTAGAACAGGGGTCCTCAAACTAAGGCCCGGGGGCCGGAAATGGCCCTCCAAGGTCATTTACCCGGCCCTCACTCAGGGTCAACCTAAGTCTGAAAAAACTTGAAAGCACACAACAACAACAACAACCCTATCTCATCAGCCAAACGCAGGCCCACACTTCCCATTAAAATACTAATAAGTTTATATTTGTTAAAATTGTTATTCACTGTAATTATTGTATTGTTTAAAAGTGTTTTTTGCGCTACAAATAAGATATGTGCAGTGTGCATAGGAATTCATTCATGGTTTTTTTCAAATTATAATCCAGCCCTCCAACAGCTTGAGGGACTGTGACCTGACCCTCTGTTTAAAATGTTTGTGGACCCCTGCTTTAGAATATATGCTTAGATAATAGTGAAAAAACAAGTCCTCAGATGTTGAACAGAATGGGTTTTTACAGAAGAAAGGGGGAACTCAATAGTCATCTTGCCTATGTTCTGGACACTATACATCTCTTGATTTTGCATGGACTACCGAGGCCAAGTCTAAAGACAGTAGAACTAGAAGGGACCCTTGTAATAACACTGTCATAAATTATGCTGGAAGGTAATGACATTAGCTCAGTAAGATTCATGGCTAAGTGGCAAGTTGAATGCAAATTTCTTTCGTTCAGATTCAGAACTTTATTACACTAAACTAGTTTGATTTATTAAATGWATATAACTAATTGTTGTTTTTGCATCATATGCTTTCAATCAGCTCCAATGTGCTGTGACCCTATCATGGGGTTTTGTACTATAGCTGGAACAACCCTGTCCCTTGATCCCAAGGGGTTGAAGTGGTTCTCGTTCCGCCCCCCCCCCCGCCCCCCTCCACTCTTCTTTTTTCAACAAAGTATTTTATAGTCTAGTGGAAGTGATCAGTTGTTCATGTGTAAATATACTTACTTGATTATTTTTATCTTAAAATACGCTTCCTTGCAAAAAATTGTTTTTATTCTTACGCAAGTAAATGTATACGTGCTCAGAGTATGTCTTTCCTCCCTGGGTTTGAACAGCAAAAATCGAATATGTAAAATTAGTGGTGACTTGTATGCTGTTTTAACTCTAGAAATTACATTATCTTCATCACCGTTTTGATTAATGTGTGAGACAAAAAAAAAATCTAGTGATGACTAATCTTCCCAAAACTTCTCTAAAGCGAGTAGCTTGTCTGTCACTTCTGAATCTCAGCTGAGTTTGTTTTAACAGTGATGATTAAGATCTTTTCCCCCCAGAGAAACTTCATTGAGATTCCTTCACATTTTGTACAATTTTTACATAAATCAAAATGAAATTTACAAGCAAAATTTAGTTTATACATGTTTTTATTACTGAAAAAGCATAAGAATTCTTGACCTGTGAAGACATTATAACAACGGTATTATTGAAGCAAAAATAATATTCACATGGAATAGCATGAGACAAAAACATTTTAAGCTCAAATTGGAAAACTAATAATAAGTAGCTTTTAAAAGAATTGTGAATTGTTCAGCATTATAACAGGAACAGAAAAAGATGAGAAATTTAATACGGATAAAAGGTTGCCTAATTAAATTTCTATAAGTAGAGTCTTGCTTAGTCAATATAAATAGGCCGGCAGAACACTGGATAAGTGAAAATGTTGGATAATAAGGAGGGTTTAAGGAAAAACTTATTAAATGTCAAATTACATTATGATTTTACAAATTAAGCACCAAAACATCATGTTTTACAACAAATCGACAGAAAAGGCAGTTCAATACACTGTAAGGTTATGTAGTAATTACTGTATTTGCGAATTTAGCACCAAAACATCACAACGTATTGAAACAGCTGTGGATCCGGGCGGGAGGCAGACTGCCTTGGATAATACAGAACTTTGATGAGTGAAGGTTGGATAAGCAAGACTCTACTATGCTAACAACTCTTCCAAAGTAGGTTGCTGTGAGTTTTCTAGGTGGTATGGCCATGTTCCAGAAGCATTCTCTCCTGACATTCTGCTTCTGGAACATAGATATACAGCCCGGGAAACTCACAGCAACCCATTGATTCTGGCCATGAAAGCCTTCAACAACACATCTTCCGAAGTATTTATTCATTTAATTAAAACAGCTAGGAATAAATAGTTTAGTTCAGTAGCTCACAATAATTTTTACATTTCTATCATTTTGTCTCTTACTAACTAGTTTGTAACACTGAATGATTGCTGTTATAATTGTGGACTATATTCCAATTAAACAACACAATTTGCTGCATAATTAAAAGGAAATAACATGCTCTATTCATTCAATTCAAATTACTATCCTATTACAATCAACTCACCAGTGGTTTCTCTTTCAACCTTTGTTTTCATTTTCTCATTTTTAGAAATGAGCAAATTTCTCATTGTGGTGGCGCAATGGGTTAAACCCTTGTGCTGACAGGACTGAAGACTGACAGGTCGGAGGTTCAAATCTGGGGAGAGCACAGATGAGCTCCCTTTGTCAGTTCCAGCTCCCCATGCAGGGACATGAGAGAAGCTCCCACAAGGATGGTCAAACATCAAAACATCTGGGTGTTCCCTGGGCAACGTCCTTGCAGATGGCCAATTCTCTCACACCAGAAGTGACTTGGTTTCTCAAGTCACTCCTGATATAAAAAAATAGAAATAATTTTTTTAATTGAAAATAAAACCCACTCCCAGCCTCTGCCCCATGTGATCCCCTCATTTTGATTTGTTAGCAAGGAAACCTTTGAAATGATGCTTCTTTTTCAGGCATGATGCCTCTTTTTGGACCTCCTTCTTTCCTTGGAAGCATCTTCATTATGGCCAATGCAGTCAAGGATCAGTTAAGAATGAGTGTCGTAAGTATCTGAACTGGATCCAAAGCTCTTAGTTTTTATACATGGAAGAATACATCGCAGCATGGCCTTACGGATGTGGTCGTCAAAGTAATAGTAGATCAGCGGGTTTGTGCAGCTATTGGCAAAGGCAAAAGGGCCACTCAGTTCCATGCCAAAGATGCCAACTTTGTAGGGAAGGCAGAAAGGAAGCTTCAAGTCTTGGATGCCAGACATTATAGCCACAAACTTAAAGACATTGAAAGGAGCCCACGAGAAAACAAAAGCAATCACTACAATGAAGACGATTTTGATTGATTTCTTCAGCTTTTTCTCATGTTTCCCAGATTTCTGATAATGCACACAGAGTTTCTTGGTGACAGAGCAATAAAAGGTCAAGATGCTGAACAGAGGGACAAAGAAGGCCAAAGCCAGCAGCAGCAGAGACTCAATCCGTTTCTTGGGTGTAGGATCCTTATCCATGCAATAGTATTCATCAGCATATCTCTGTAGCTCCCTGGACAAAAGGGTTGGCAAACCCAGCAGGAAGGACAGAATCCACACACAGATGCAAAGGTTGATGGAATAGAGCTTTGTTCTGATCCTCCGGGCCACTGATGGGTACATGATGGCCAAGTACCGATCGCCACTCATGACAGTCAGTAGGAAGATGCTACAGTACATGTTGACTGAGATGATGTAGGAACTGCCTTTGCAGACGAAAGAGCCAGACCTCCAGAGTCCAGAATAGATTTCCTTGTCTACCCAAATTGGTAGTGTGATAAGAAAAATAAAATCAGAAGCTGCCAAGTTGACAATGAAGATATCAATCGGCCTCTGAATACGCTGTTTGAAGACAAGAGCTCCTATGAGAAGGGTATTGCCAAGGATCCCCACGAAGAATACAGTCGAATAGAGAACAGGCAGGACAATGTTCTTGTAAGGCAGCTCTATAGGAAGGCAAATCTCTTCAGGAGCCTCGGTACCAGGAGAATATAGATCATAATAGTTTGGCATTGTTTCCTCCATTGCCGGAATTCTTTAGTAGTCAATCTGTGAAATATCGTTTTGCACTGCCACATCTAAGAGATGCCACAAGCCATCGTTGTCATCTTATTTTTTCATTGTTCAATATCTTCCAGGTAGCAAGATTTTTTAAAGCATTAGTGCAGAAACCACTCATAAATTTCTGGTGAACAATGTAAATGCCAACCACAGAATGGGAGGATCTGGTTTCATCTGACCAATAAACATGCTTGTTCTGATTGTTATCTTCATGCTGCATTTGACCATAAAGCATTAGTGGGGTGGTTTCCTTGAGCTTTGGCAAGTGAAGGGGGTGTTTTTTGTTGTTGTTGTTGAAAAAAATAAGGCTTTGGGGTTATAGATAGGAGTGGAAACAAGAAAGCAGAGAATTTTGTTCAGGGTTGTTATTTTAAAAAGCCACTAACCAGCTCAATCTGGGTTTGACTCACTTTACCAAATGACAACTTACTTTTCTTGCACTTAAAACAAATGTTCAGTGTTATACAGATTTTGTCAATAGCCTTCTCGGTTTGGCTGGCAGTCATATTCTTATTTCAGTTTACAAAGTTGTGCTTTTGAATATCACAACTTTCTGACTGTGAGAGCTGTTCAGCAGTGGAACTCTCTGCCCCAGAGTGTGGTGGAGGCTCCTTCTTTGGAAGCTTTTAAACAGAGGCTGGATGGCCAACTGTCGGGGGTGCTTTGAATGCAATTTTCCTGCTTCTGGGCAGGGGGTTAGACTGGATGGCCCATGATTCCATGATTCCATGATTCTATGATCAACATGAGCTTTAATATCAGTTTTTTTTCTTTTGCAGTACTCTTAAAAAGTTGGCTTTACTTTTATATCTTTTTGAAAGGTTTAAAAGAAACAGAAAGGAAGAAACCATGAAAATGAACAAAATCTGGCTACCAGTATTTTAAAAAAACTCTAAAATCATAACAGTAAATAAAGAACAACACTCAAAAACAGGGGAATTCCAGACAAGAAACAATCAGGGCCAGCGAATCACCTCCCAACGAAGGATTCCTCCAGGCAGTAAGAAGCCACACCTTGAAAACTGCTAGCCCATTAAATGCTCATCAAGGTAGTCACTTGAAACATTCACACCTAGCTCCAACAGACAAGAGTTCTTTCTCCCACCCTGGACATTCCACAGATATAGAAACCCCATTTTCCTAGTTTCCAACAGATCTCACAACCTTTGAGAATGCCTGCCATAGACGCAGGTGAAATGTCAGGAGAGAATGCTTTTGGAACATGGCCATACAGCCCTAAAAATTCACAACAACCCAGTCAAACAAAAAAAATGTTATGTAGTTGTGCTTGGTGTAGTGATTTGAGGGTTGGACTGTGAGTCTGTGGACCAGGATTCTAATTCCCTTCTTAGCCATGGAATCTCACTGGGTTTTTTTGGGGGGGGGGGGGGTTGTCATGTCAGGAGCGACCTGAGAAACTGCAAGTCACTTCTGGTGTGAGAGAATTGGCCGTCTGAAAGGATGTTGCCCAGGGGACGCCTGGATGATTTTTGATGTTTTTATCATCCTTGTGGGAGGCTTCTCTCATGTCCCTGCTTGAGGAGCTGGAGCTGATAGAGGGAGCTCATCCGCCTCTCCCCAGATGCAAACCTGCGACCTGTCGGTCTTCAATCCTGCCGGCCCAGGGGTTTAACCACCGGGAGCTCCTTGAAAACAAATTGATACAATTTGAGTGATAATGATAATTTGCATAATATGCAAATCAGATGCGTAGATTTATGAGCTAGAACATGCCAGCCCTAACTGTGGTTAAGAAGGAGTCAGAGAAGATATTGCTGCAGACTATGAACAACAGATTGGGCAAACCTCAATTAACTTCAGCCTCTTCTCTGCAAAATTTAGAGAAGTTATTTCTTTGGACAACAACTCTGGGAATATGACCTTGCCAGAATTTCTCCAGAAAACATGACCAGTTTATGAGAACTGTAATCCAAAAATTAACTTTCCAATCATTATTCATTTTCAGTAAGGGTTAGTACTATCACTTGCAGTATGATTCAAAATTTGTGTTAACAAAACCCATTGAACTTGGAAGAATAAAGAAAAAAGATTAGGCACCAAGTAATTGTCTTTCAGAACCACATTCCACAACTATAGAAAAGAGTGTGTGTTTTTTTCATTTCATATTTTGAAAAACTCAATTTCCAGACTATTAATTAATAAGCCCCAGAGAAGCCTATCATTAAATATCTGCCTGCTTGCATCTTCTCTGCCATCGGGTGGTTGTCTTAACTAGTGAAGCCGCCAAATTATTATCCCAGGATGAGTACTTGCCCCGGCTGGTTTTTCTGCTTGTGTTTTCCAAATCTCCTGAGCCCTGCCTTTATTTATTTGCATCATTTCCAAGGAGTGCAGCATCATTTTTTGAGAAATAAGAGCTGACACTGGGGACGTCTTGAAGCACATGATTTAGACAGAATGGATGTGCAATAGTGTTTTCTTGTTAGTGGTTTGCTTTCTTTTTCTTTTGACCTTGCATATGCTCAATTGGTATATTTTACTTTTGATAATTTTCCAGGAAGGGATATTCAATCTAATATTTGAAAGGTGGATTCCAAAGATACTGGGGAAAAAATGGGAGAAAAAGAAGGCTAAGGTTCAGATGAATATGTCTTGGGCTAGTCGGTTATTGCTGTTGGATTCTGTCATTGCTATGTTTTAAAAGCAGTTGATGCACCATGAGTGATAACCATTTTGCTACCGCTCTGGTAATCGCCTGCATCCTCAGCTTTAATTCCACCATCTTCTTGGCTGCCTCAATTGGCACAGATGTTTGGTTTGAATACTGCAACCCTTCATCTCCTGAAAACATCAGTATGTCTCCTTGTGATGAAGCCTTCAGAGAAAATACAAATGAAGACTTGTATACAGAAGCTCTCTATCAATGGAATGGTACCATTGGACTGTGGCAAAAGTGTATCACCATACCTGAAAACTCTTACTGGTGCAACTCAACAGGTAAGCTCACTCCAAAAAGTATTTTTCTGTGAACTATAATCTGTATACTGTTAGGATATTTCTGAGTTTCTTTGATCTCCCATAAAACCCAAGAGTAACCAGGAATTGCAGATATCTTAATTTTAATGTAATTTCCCACCCAAACCCCATGCACAAGCTGCGTTGGAAAGGAAAGGTGGGAACTTGTATAGTTCCTATCACTTTTTCTTCTCTTCAGTGGTGATTCAAATACTGTTTTGGATCTTTGAGTCTGCAGCATTACATCAACAGAAGTCCCATGTACTGTATTATGCCTCCAAGGTTTTCAATATCGATTTCCCCCCAGAAAAATAAAGTAGCAAAAGGGTAATGAACAGGACAGCAAGTAACACATTGAGTTGTTTAAAAAACCAGCAGCAACATTGTAATGCATGAAACAATGAACTCACTATAGCAGGTACTAGCAATGAGTTATTTCTGAAAAATCACTGCTGGTGTATTAGGTTAAACCACTGAGCTGCTGAACTTGCTGACTGAAAGGTTGGCAGTTTGAATCCAGGGAGTGGGATTTAAGTAATTTTTAAGTAAGTAATTTTTATTATAATAAATATGTACTACAGTACAAGCACATTTGCCCCTGATGTTAGCCCCAGCTTCTGCCAACCTAGCAGTTTGAAAACATGCAAACATGGGTAGATCAATAGGTACCTCTTCTGCAGGAAGGTAATGGAGTGCCATGCAGTCATGCTGGCCACATGATCTTGGAGGCATCTACGGACAACGCTGGCTCTTTGGCTTAGAAATTGAGATGAGCAACACTCCCCAGAGTTGGACATGGCTAGACTTAATGTCAGGGGAAACCTTTACCTTTCCCTTTCTAACTGTTAACATTTTGTTTACAATATACTTTAATTGCTAAAACCTTTTATAAGTTATAAAGCTAAATTCAACCTGAATATGTGTTTAAGAGAGAGAGACAGGGCCTTCTCAGTGGTGGCCCCTCGGCTGTGGAATGCCCTACCTGCAGACATCAGACAGGCCCCCTCGCTGTTGGCGTTCCGAAGGAAGGTGAAGACCTGGCTCTTCGAACAAGCGTTTGGCTAATCAGTGCAATGGAATATAGGAACACGGTGCAATCGAACATAGGAATATGGAACAAGGATTACGAGAAGGATTCTGATTTGTTGTTGAGGCGCTATGATTAGGATAATGATTGTTTTTTTTATATTGATTGTTATGTAGAATTTATAATGTGTTTTAATTTGCTTTGATACTGTCTTGTGATAATCTGTATTATGTAAACCGCTTTGAGTCGCCTAAGGGCTGAGAAAAGCGGTATAGAAATAAAGCAAATAAATAAATAAATTTAACTTATCCCCAAAGCAAGAAAAGACATTAATTTTAAATAGATGTGACTGAGACACACTCTAGAAACACTTCTGAGACTAAGTATGGGCAGTCCCCAAGTTACAGACAAGTTAGGACCTGTAGGTTTGTTCTTAAGTTGAATGTGTATGTAAGTTGGAACAGGTACATTTTTTAATAGTAACTGTAACCAAAAAAAACATTTAGTTTTGGATAACATAGAGAAGGGTTAACACCCCTGAGGTGCTTGTTTTGCTGTCTGTGCCCATGTTTAAGAGATTTTATCTCACATTCTGTCCCTATGATAATTAGATTTTGAAAAATTTGGCTTGTGGGAACGATTGATGAAAAAGCCTCAGCAGGATAACTCTTTCAGGAGTGAATTTCCCTTCTTAGGGGTAGATTTTTCTCACTTTCTGTTGTCTCATCCCCCCCCCCCTTCATTCTTAGCTATGAGTTATTTGTAAGTCAGATGTTTGTAACTTGGGGACTGTCTTTATATGTTTTTCAAAATCCATAGTTCTGGAGCAGCTTAAAGCATGAAAGCAAGCATTTCATTTTCAAGTGGACTCCTTTCTGTGCAGATGGGGATGGAGGACAGCATATACATTCTCATTAGCCTGTATACACGTATAAGTGTGAGTGAGGAATAATAACAAAGCAAATCAACCCCAATAAGGTTATTTTGCTTTTCTATTCTGAAAGGTGAGATGGTCACAAAGTGTGTCAGTTTTTCTCTTTTGGATCAATTCATGGAAAAATATAATGACCCCAGGAATCCTAACAGCGGCAGTGATATGATACGGACCTGTAAGTATACGTTGTTGTTTTTCTTATTCGGTAAATCTAAAATGCTGATAACTCTTATGTATCTAATTTGTTATGAATTAATTCACTTGAATGCATTGGATTTACTTTGAAACAGATGTGTATGAAATGAAAACAAGCCATGTTTACAATGAAACATAAATAATGCATATTTTGCCTCTTCCAAAAGTAGCTGAATGACTAATTTACCAAACTTCATCAAGTCAGTGTCTGGCTGAATCTACACTGCCATATAATCATGTATCGGATCCCATACTGTCTGCATGGAACTGGATTATATGAGTGAACAATGCCACATAATCCAGTTCAAAGCAGATAATATGGTACCAGAAACTGGATTATTTATTTGTTTATTTATTTGTGACATTTATAGCCCATCTTTCTCAACCATACGGCAACTCAAGGCGGGTTACAGATTGGCACGATTCAATGCCATGCATTCATAAAAGTGCAATTAAAACAGTCAACATAACAATATAGAAACATATATAAAACCATTAAAACATGTAGTCACCAATGTCATCTTGATTAAAATTGTTTTCCAGTAAAATCGTCTGGCCATTCCATGTTAATCATTCAAAGTTTCATATTATCTATTCTGCTGCATTCTCAAAAGCTTGCTCAAAGAGCCAGGTTTTTACCTTTTTCCAGAAAGTAAGGAGGTAGGGGGATGATCTAATATCCCTGGGGAGGGAGTGCCATAGAGAAGGCCCTGTCCCTCGTCCCCAAAAATCGCACTTGCGATGCAGGCGGGATCGAGAGCAGGGCCTCCTCAGATGATCTTATCTCCTACATGGTTCATAAGGAGAGATACGTTAGGACAGGTAAGCTGGGCCGGAACCATGTAATGCTTTATAGTCTAAGGCTAGCACTTTGAATTGTGCCCAGAACCAATTTTGCAACCAATGGAGCTGACGCAACAGAGGGACGCCGACCGCTTGGCAGTGTTGATGGGGCTTTAATATCCAGATGACCTGCTTGTGCTTTCTACGTCTTCCTAAAACAAGATTGGGTGTGTGAGCCTTGGAGACCACAAAGCACAGCCTAAAATTCCCTAACCCAAAACATGTCCTGAAGACTCAAAATCTTCCACCTGCCTGTGAGAGCTCTGCTTCTCAATCTTTGGTCCTCCAGGTGTTTAGGACTTCAGCTCCCACAATTCCTAACAGCTGGTATTTCTGGAAATTGAAGTCCAAAACACCCGGAGGACCACAGGCTGGGAACCATTGTGCTAGAGTCACCCCAAAAGCAAAAATCTCTCAAAAACCTGAAGCCAAAAATGATGAGACATCATCTGTGGTCATGCTGGGAACACCAGCATGGCCTACTAGGTAAAAATGGGTCTCTGCTCTCTCTGCAATTGCTTATTACTAGCCTACAGTATAGTTTGTATTTAATGCTTACTCTAGTATTTCTGTAGTGCTTGACACAATCCAAAATGAATTTTAAAATTTTTGACACAAATAAAAACATGAAATTGAATTAAATAGGCCGCCGTTTTAAAAATATATTTTGATAAATTTTAATATCTCAATACTTACATTACAAGAAACTACAGACAGATCAAAGACACACACACAAAGACTGTGATATACTAATTTTTTTTTACAAAATTTCTCCTCTCTAAACTACATCTATTATTTTTACCATCTTTCCTTACAATAAATAAAAGATAGGCAGTTTTAGATAATGATGTTGGAAGTTGGGATGGCCTAATTTTGTTCATGTGCCTCTTTCTATTAGATCTGTGGCGCTTGCAGTTCTTTCTGCCCTTTGCCAGCCTTGGACTCATGTGTTTTGGGATTGTCATTGGAGTATGTATTTGTGCCTGTTTTAGTCTCTACCCTACCATTACTGTCGGAGTCCTCCACTTCCTAGCAGGTGAGCGGTCTTAGCAAATATAATCTGGTTGCGCTGCGCTGAAATATGGATATATTAATCACATGATTAAAGAATTCCATTCTGTGACCTGACCCTAATATTATGCCACTTTTACTACAGGTCTGTGCACACTGGGCGCAGTTGGGTGCTATGCAGCTGGAATTGAGTTGCTCCACAAGAAGCTAAACCACATTTCTGTGCCAGGCCAGTTTGGCTGGTCCTTCTGTCTGGCTTGTGTCTCAGCACCTTTGCAATTTATGGCCGCTGCCCTTTTCATATGGGCTGCACATAACAACAGGAAAGCATTCACACTCTTGAAAGCCTATCATGTGGCCTAGTAAACCCTTTGTCTTTCCCCAAGTCTCTTGTAAAGATAGATAGATAATGTTTTGTTTTTATATTTTGTTATAATGTTGTTGTTTTTTCTGTTTTCTGATTTATGCTGTTGTTTAGATATTTTAGTGTGCTACATTTTAATCATGTTGATTGGGCTTGTCCCCATGTAAGCCGCCCCGAGTCCCTTCGGGGAGATGGCGACAGCGTAAAAACATTTACACACACACACATATACAGAAGAGACTCGCTTATCCAACCTTCACTCATCCAATGTTCTGAATTATCCAATGCAGTCTGCCTCCCACCAGGATCCACAGCTGTTTCAATACATTGTGATGGTTTAGTGCTAAATTCATAAATACAGTAATTACTACATAACATTACCGTGTACTGAACTGCCTTTTCTGTCAATTTGTTGTAAAACATGATGTTTTGGTGCAGAATTTGTAAAATCATTACGTATATTGACGTTTAATAGGCTTTTACTGAATCCCTCCTTATTATCCAACATTTTAGTTAATCTAACTTTCTGCTGGCCCGTTTATGTTGGATAAATGAGACTCTACTGTATGTATACACACACATGCGCGCGCACACGCACACACACGCCCTTTTGCTCACCCCTCCTTTTTTACTTCCTCCTCAAGTTTACTGCAAGGCCATGTTGGCCTTTTCAGGTCTTTCCCATTTTTCATTTTCTATGAAATTGTTTGCAATTCTGCTTTTAGCGAAAGGGTGTCTTTTTCCTTCTTTAATCTTCATAGGACAAGCAGTTTTAGATCCATTCCCATTACTAAGACCTTCACCCACAGATGAGAAGAGGAAATATGGGGCCATGATAGGAAAATTTCCAGCAAAAACCCAGATTTCCAAATGACTCCAGGAAGAGCAGAGATTTTCAAAGGGATTTCATAAGCTGTTCGGTTCATAATACATAAAATACATTTCACTACCACCCCCTCACTTCCGCGAGTTGTGTCACTGAATTTCATCAGTTGATTTGTTGATAGAAAGCAAAAAAATTACCCCTTTCAAATATGCTGTCCTTATCATGCTCATGATCATATATCTTAGCTGAACTTAAATAGATTTAGCTAACTCTAAACATTCTGAGGAAACAATGCTAGCACAAAAGCATCTTGAAATGAATTGCCAAGATTGCACAATCAACAGCAGCTTTTCAAGGTTTTTTTTTAAAAAGAAATAGTACATTGTAGGTGTTTGACACAAAATACAGCATGGTTTACTGGTCTGAGCATTGGACTACAACTCTGGAAACCACAGTTGGAAATTCTGCTTAACCATGGAAACCCAGTGAGTAACCTTGAGTAAGTCATGCTCTCTCAGCCTCAGAGGAAGGCAAAAGTACAGCCCGTGAACAAAATCCACAATGATCCATGATAGGTCTACCTTAAAGTTACCATAAGATGAAAACATCTTATGAAGGCACACAACAAGAAAACTTAAAGGCCTTTAGAATTACCTAGTCTGGATGGAGTCTGTTGCCAAATTTTATGTGGATACATGAAAAATATTTTTTTAATCACAGCCACTTTGGTTTTCCTAATGCAAGAAAGACCATATATCCAGATTTCTAAATATCAATTCAGATTTAGATCAGTCCATATTGTCAGATGGCAGATTGGGCCCATTTGGATTACCCAGACTGGCACAAAATAAAAGAAGACTCATGCACAAGCTACTTCAAATTGTCAGAATGCAGGAATCACTGAAGATCAACAGGTACAGTGTGTTGGTTATACCACGGAGTATGAGTGTCCAGCCTTCTGGTTAAAGCGGTGATTCCCAAACTCTAGTCCTTTAGATTCTTGGACTTCAACTCTCAGAAACCTTGTCTGTCTTGGTTAATGATCTGGGACCTTGGGAGTTGAAGTCCAAGACACCATCTGTGAATAACAACCTTTCTAAACTAACTTCCCTTTGCCAAAATGGAAGGGAAATGGGAGATAAGAGTTGTGTCTGCTATATGAATGGTAGTAGGGATATGCACAACACAGTCATCTTTTGCATTCAGCTGGCTTGATAACAGTAGCACTAAAATGACCACTTGTCGGAGGAAAAATACTAAAAAATACAGCACTCAAAAGAACTGTCTTCCAGTGTGAGCCCTGGAAAAAACACAGGGCCCTTCCACACAGCCATATAACCCAGAATATCAAGGCAGAAAGTCCACAATATCTGCTTTGAACTGGGTTATTTGAGTCCACACTACTTTATAATCCAGTTCTATGTGGATTTTATACAGCTGTGTGGAAGGAGCTTCAGTCATTACCTAGAAAGGAGACATCTGGAAGCATTACTCTGCATTTACTGTAAAAGAAATAAAACACATGACAGAGGTTTTCAGTTTGCATTGGTTTTATGCCAGTTGATACTAATCTAGTCTGTTCTGATTTGTTAGATTAAATATGAAGGAGTAATAATTATGAAATGAAAAAAGCCTTATCCTCTTTTACCCTCTCCCTCATTCATTAGCTGAAGAACCAGGAATGATGTTCAAAACTGGCACGTTCTAGCTCTCAGTGCCTTTATTGGGTAAATATTGTTTTGACTTACATTCTATCAAGAATTAATCATCTGAACCGGTTTACAGAATGACTGGGGTTACATGGAACAGGAATGGGCAGTTTGTACAAGAAATAGAGACACTACAGAAATGTGTCATAAACTAGAGGGCTGCATTATTAACAAATACTTAACATGAATATAGGAAGTCCTTCCAGATCAGATCAGTGGCCAGAATCCTGAGATAGATTGATTATATATCCTTTTATAACTGATACAAAAGGCATGCCCTTACCCTACAAAGGCAGCTGCAAGTTCTCTTGGCCAATGTGTCTTGGGCAAGCCCAGTACAACTGGCCAGCGACTGAAAAAAGAGCATTTGTCACTTTCCCTTGATTTCTAATGTCACTGACTGGTGATCTAGGACAAGGACAGCTAATGGTTGCAGATAAACATCTGCATAATTTCCATGCACTCCCTGGGTCATCGTAGTTGAGAGAGATCACATCTTGCCTTCTCAATCAGGCTTGCACCCAGCAACCTTAGTTGGGAGGAAATACACGAGGGAACATTATGCTCCATCCCCTCTGTGTGGCAAGGACCACAACTTGTGTTTTACATGAGAGATGAGAATCTCAATGTTTCATTTTCTTATCATCAAACAAAACAAACCTTTATAAGACTTATGATTGCTTAAGTTAAGGATGAGCAACTGGCTTATTTTTTCTTATTTATGATCTGTTACAAAGGAATTGCTTTTTCCAAAGAACACAGGGAAACATTATACCAGATATAACCCAAAATAGCTCTCACTTGCAGCCTGAGGGCCCTTCCACACAGTCATATAACCCAGAATATCAAGGCAGAAAATCCCACAATATCTTCTTTGAACTGGGATATCTGAGAGTGACTCCAGACAGCCTTTTATCCCACAAGCATCCCAAAAACACAGATGTTTGTGGGAGGCTGTCTACACCCACGCCAGAAAGTGCACGCTTTCTGGAGTGGGTGTCCAGATGTTCTGCCAGGACTGCCTGGCAGAACATCTGGGGACTCTACCCCCCTCCCCCAAAGCCCCCTAAACCACTTTAAAAAGTGAAATAAACTTACCCAGCCTTTATTAGCGTATCACTGGAGCTCTCCTGGTGTGTAAAAATGACACACCAGGAGAGGGGGGGGGAGCTATTAAATTAGTTTTGGGGTTTGGGGGGAGGGGGGATTCCCACAGTTTACCAGGCTTAGCCTGATAAACTGTTGGAATGGTGTCTGGACTGTAGTCCAGACACCGGAAATGGTGGATTTATGCTGCGCCTTCCAAACCAGTTTTCCTGGTTTGTGCCGAATTAATTCGAGTTGGCCCGAACATCATCTGCACAGCCCCCTTTTTATTGTGGAAGTTTCTGCAATAAAGGGGCTGTCTGAATGGGCCCTGAGTCCACCCTGCCATATATTCTAGTTCAAAGAAAATAATGTGGGATTTTATTCAGCTGTGTGGAGGGCTCCTGAGACAGTCAGCCTTTCTCTATATCTTGGTAATGTGCAACTAAATGCTTATGCTCTGTGCCTCTTACCTGTCAGTGATATGCCACACATTAATGCTGTTTGTCTTCAGTATCATGAAGGCTGTTTTTGGAGCCTGGAGTATTTACCTTGATTTTATGCAAATGTTTTTGCTGAATATATGCTTTATGAAACCACCACAAGACATCTGCAGGGTTTGTAGATTTGCTGCAAACAACATGGTCAGGGAAGTGGTTAAGAGAGCAGAATTTGAAGCACAATGTTCTAGTTGAAAAGGCATTTCCATTAAACAGGTGCATCAAACATTTTTTTTCTTAACAGAATCACCAAGCGAATATTTAATTGTTTTTGGTGTGACATTCTCCAAAGTATTTTATATTAAATTCCTTTACCTACGAAATGCAGTTGCCAAGTATAGTTTCAATATAGTATGGGCCAGTATGTTAACTTCAGGTGCATTATTTACCCTGTCTCTGATAACTGATTCTACTCATTAAAGAACCAAGTGTTTCAACAGGATGAAACATCACTCTGATAGGTGTTAATAGTGTGGTTCGGATATTTGGAAAAGAAGCTTGGCTGAGAAGCCAATGCCACAAAGCTACCCTCTGTGGGATTATGACTAAGCATAAGGAGATGTTGTTGAAATAGTAATCCTACTGTGTACGAGAGAATCTGCAGGTTCATTCATTTAGTCTATTTGCAGGGCTGTGAACTTAATACTCTATTTAAACAAATCCTGTAATAGTAATTGTATAACTATAATAAATATTTTTCCATTATTTTCATCTCTGTAGAAATGGGGATGGTATCTTTTCCTCCCAAATTGGGATTACATGTAGTGTACACATTAAAATGGATCATGACTCCTTTCTCTCCACAGTCAAGTTGTTTCAGAATTTCCAGAAACATCTAAAGAAGGAATGAAAGGATAAATAATGCTGTACCCAATCTCTAATCTTTTATATGTTTCTTTATTGCTTTCAGTCAGGTGAAAAAATAACTTCTACTAGGTAAGCAATGAGCCTAGAAGATGTCTTTAAGTGCAACATGTGTTACGCTTTTCTTTGCAATCTATATAGAAAACAAGACACACACAATACAAGTCACAATAGTTCTTTATAGACTCCTCTGGCAATTCTGAATGTTCTGAATTTCCCCCTTTTCCTTCACTTTGTTACTGCTTGTCAACTCCAGTATGACCTCCATATTCATGGGGGGTATGTTCTAAGACCCTCTATAGATACTTGAATCTGGATAACAGTTAACCCTATATTTGACTATAACTGGACTGGAAGCATACCATAGAATGACCATAGAATAGCATACCAGAGAAGCTCACAGACATGTCCTGCGAACAGAATTTTTTTGGAATGTGGGTAAGTGAAACTGTGGCTATTGAATTAGTGCACAAGGGGGTTGTACTACATGTCAGTCTTCTAAGTGCTAAGTGCATTGAATAATCACATAAGGTGGCCAATGAGATTGCCTTCATAGAAGTCATAGCAGGGAGCCTTTTACAATTGTAGTGGTCGAATTTAGACTAGGACCATGGTTAAAGAGGGCCCATGCCTGGCAAGCATTTATGTTAAAGCCTAAAGTTCCTGATTGAAGAACACACTCACCAGGGGTGAAAGCAGCTACAGAGGTTTATTCACAATCTGGCCAGAAATGCAAGTATGGCTAGCACCAAAAGTACAGATATAACATGAAAGACAGAGTCATGAGGTTTTTTTTTACAGTTGACAGCTATTTTCCTGCTCCACCCGCTTCACTGCCTGCTGCCTTTCTTGATTGACCAGTAGAGGGTCCGGCCTGGAGCAGCACTTTGATTGACTGGTGCTACAATGACATTGCCTCCCCCAGGTGGGGATTCCTTGATGGAGGGGAGGATACAGAGGGGACTGGCCTGGGGAGGGCTTATCAGCAGTTGGAGGTCAGCCTCCTCACAAGGAGGCAAGCCCCAGAAATGTCCACTGTCCACATCAGGAAATGCAAATGGATTCTGGATTCTCTTTGATTGTTTTAGGAGGAAATCTCTTGAGAAAAACAAAGGTGCGGGCTTTCAGAACAAAAGGTGCTGACCTCCTTCAATCAAGCCTTGGGTGGAAAATAAAAGAAATCAATGTGTGCACATACTTTGGGTTTCCTTTTCCAACACCATCCATCTTTCAGCATAATTAAGACAATCAACGGATAAGTATCATCCCACTGATATCAGATCGAGAACGGTAACCTCCTGCTGAGATGTACACACACACACAATGAGTCTTTGGTTGTCACCTTTGTCCAAGGGATTAGACCAGTCCAAATGTCCTAATCGTATTTTTCAATATACCTGTATTTTGGTTATAGATATAGGCATATAGGGATAGGATGGGGAATAAAAGATAAAAGATGGGCAAAGGCCGTCAAGAAGGGATACAATGTAAGCAGGGGTAGCAGAGA